GCCACTGAGACTGTTACGAATTTTGCAACATTTTACACGTATAAATCACACTATTTCTCTTTTAACTCCACAGTGCGATGTTCAGACCCGACTATGTTAACCGCATCAGCTAAACTCTCCCACTCTATTTTTTTCTTTTGTTGTTAATTCCGGAGGACAAACTTGCAAACAACACCACTTTTCTCCATTCTACCTCCGAAAAGGAGCACTTCCAATTCACATTCTGTTCAAAGTTTCTCTTTTTGCTTGATTTTGCCATTGCTTTTTCGTTGAGTTTTGCCAAAGTATAGTCATTAGCATATTCATACGGGGGAGGAGGCAGAGAGGGTTTTTGTGCTCGTGCATGTTACGCTTAGTTTCACGTTCATTCAGATGTACAAAAGAATTTGCGTGAGATTCAGCGTACGCAGTGTTTCATACATCTGAATTTTTTTCTGCGTACGCACATTTACAGCTTTGTGCGTATGCAATGTTTTAGTATGATTTCCACGCAAGTCTTCGTACATGAGGCCCCTGAATTTTTTTCTGCGTACGCACATTTACAGCTTTGTGCGTACGCAATGTTTTAGTAAGATTTCCACGCAAGTCTTCGTACATGAGGTCCTTCTTGTTGCGAAGCGAGCGCGCTACCTATTGAGCCACTGAGTCGCCGTACTGGCCGCATGAAAACAAAACCGTTTTTTATAGAGTGACCTCTGCCGACTGATAAGAAAACGATAGGGGAATCCCTCAATTCCTGCATAAATAAATATAGAAACAATCAATAGTGCGGCCTGATAAATGATCAAGTACATTACACCAATGTTGGAGAAATAAGAAAATATTGAAAAGAAATAATGAAAAAAAATTCATTATTTATCAGCCTGCACTATTCCTTAGTTGTGTATTTATTTAAGCAGGGATTTGAGGATGTATGTATATTTATTTATTTTTTTATTTATGCAGGGATTTATGAATAGATTTGTTGATTTTCTTTTTTGGCTTAGTCCCTTTATTAATCAGGGGTGGCCACAGCGGAATGAACTGCCAACTCATCCAGCATATGTTTTACGCAGTGCATGCCCTTGCAGCTGCAAGGCATCACTGGGAAAAAAAACATACACACTCATTCGCACACATACACTATGGCCAATATCAGTTGATCAAGAGCGCATGTTTTGGACTTGTGGTGAAAACCTAGGCGAGCATGGGGAGAAGATGTAAACTCCACACAGAAATACCAAGTGAGCCTGCATAGATTTGCTTATTTATCCCTTTCTTTAAGTATCTTTTCTTTTTTTCTTCCTTATTGTCTTTGCAGCCCTGCTGATAAATCCAGCTTAAACCAGCCTAGGCTGGTTTTAGCTGGTTGACCAGCCTGGTTTTAGAGGGGTTTTGGCTATTTCCAGGCTGGTTTGCAGCCAAATGACCAGGGGCCTCATGTATCAACGCTGCGTACGCACAAAAACTTTGCGTACGCCAGGTTTCACGCTCAGAATCGCTCACGTTTGGATTTACTAACAATGAACTGAACGTGGGAATGTGCGCAGGTTCACGGCAGCTTTCTGGCAGGCGTACGCACATTTTTTGTGCGTGTCTGTTTTATTTCCATTGGCGACTCCTAGAGGCAGTTGTGTTAAATTGCACTTTACAAAGTGACTGAGCCTTGCAATGGCAGCTGTATGAGACGGGTTCATCGATCTAGCAGGTAAATAAGATTTCCATACCATACAGTTGAGCAGCTAAACATTAAAGCACAATTTGCAGCGGTCGCCTGTTTTCCCAATGTAATCTGAGCGATCTACTGCACGCACATTGCAATAAAGGCACCATCTGAAGATGAATTTGCATGCGTGAATCAGAAACATTTCCATTCAATAAATGTGCAAATAAAATATGATGCACAAACTTATTGATGATTCCTACTTGTCTTTCTCATGATAAATAGTTGGCAAAATCTGATATGTAGCGGGGAAAAAACAAGAAAGAGTTCATCAGACGCTGGATTCGAGCCGGGTTCATGCTCAAACGTGTCAGAACATGATGACATGCGTCTTAGGAGCGCGCCACTGAGACTGTTGCAGGAGCTGCAACAGTTTACAGATATAAACCACACTATTTCTTTTTTTAACGCACTCAGTGCGATGTTCAGACCCAACTGTGTTAACCGCATCAGCTTAACTCTCCCACTCTATTTTTTTCTTTTGTTGTTTTTTGTTGTTAATTCCGGAGAACAAACTTGCAAATAACACCGCTTTTCTCCGGTCTACCTCCGAAAGGAGCACCACCAATTCACATTCTGTTCAAAGTTTCTCTTCTTGCTTGCTTTTGCCTTTGCTTTTTCGTTGGGTTTTGCCATTAGCATAGTCATTAGCATATTCATACGGGGGAGGAGGCAGGGAGGGGTTTTGTGCTCGTGCATGTTGCGCTCAGTTTCACGTTCATTCGGATGTACAAAAGAATATGCGTGAGATTCGGCGTGTACGCAGTGTTTCATACATCTGAATTTTTTTCTGCGTACGCACATTTACAGCTTTGTGCGTACGCAATGTTTTAATAAGATTTCCACGCAAGTCTTCGTACATGAGGCCCCAGCCAAATCCAACTAAAACCAGCTTGACCAGCCTGGTTTAAGCTGGATATAGCTGGTTTTGGCTGGACTCCCAGCTTGGCTAGGCTGGTCAAGCTGGTTATCTCCCAGCCTGACCAGCTAAGACCAGGCTGGAAATGGCTGGAAACCAGCCCGGAAGTGGCCAAAACCCCTCTAAATCCAGCCTGGTTGACCAGCTAAAACCAGCCAACCAGCCTAGGCTGGTTAAAGCTGGATTTTTTAGCAGGGAGGTGTGGTCCCCCATAGCTTGTAGTCAAGGACGACAAAAGATACAAGTGTAAAATCAAATCAAAAATGGCCCCGGGCCCCACCGGCTGCGTTTGGATCCGAATCTTGAGGCCGAATCTTGATTGCCAATTGATATCACGTGTTTTGGGTCACTTTGGATGAGCTTAATTTGAACAGCCTCTTTGGCACCCAGGGTCCGTAAACAAGTGGTTGCGCAGACTGATTTTAATATATGAACGCTGTTTCTCATCGACGGTAGGCCACATTTTCAACCATCGCCTAGACTGCAAAGGTAGACGCCACCCAGCTCTTCGAGCAACGTGCTGTCATTTTTGCTTGTTTAAATCTTTTTTTTCCATTTGTAGCCATTTTAAAGGGCGAAGTGTGCTTCCCACGATGCATTGCGGAAACGAACAACCAATCAAGGGGATTGCTGTGCCAGACCTGTCTTTTCCGCCTACTGTGTGGAAATCATGTCGAGAACGGCAAACAATACCGTGTACTAGCATAGATATATACATTAGATGTCGACTGGCCTATTGTGGTCTATTGGACGGAATGCGTCAATATCGCCGCCATCTTGCTACAGGGTAGCGCTCCTTTAAAATGAATGCGGGACCAAGGTACAGTTGAGGACTGTGGCCATCCAAAGACAGAGATATACACATATACACATATATCTATGATCGGGAGTTTTCCTGGATGTTAGTATGTAATTTTTTTTTTCTAATTACGAAAATTATAATTGTACATCACTTTTCTACATTGATGGATCAGTGACCGCACGGGCATTCCTGACAAAAAGCTTGTGTGTACAGAAATGTACTATCCACCCTCCCTGTTAAATTTGATCTAATCATGTCCTGAAACACAGCTCCTCTCCTGCTTTAACTTCTTATACTGACGGAGGGAGCGATTCGTTTGTGAATTCACCGAACGACTCTTTCACTAACGTTAGCCGACAATAATAAAAGTTTCTGGCAGCGCAGCATCTTGTTGTCATATTTCTTTTGCATTGTTTGCTGATTTTATTCAACAAAACTAGCATAAGCCAAGTGTTTAGTGCAGTAAGTGACTGTTATTATCAATAACGTTACCTGATTAGCACAAAAGTTCAGAACATACAAAAACAGAAAAAAACTTAATATTACCGATGAAATGTTCTGCCTTTGTGCTTTGTTTTCTTTGTTTGCTCGTTACTACACCCGTAGACAGTGCTACAGTCCCGAATCTTCACGTAATAACAGTGTCTTGACTAGTGCGGTTGAATGACATTTGTCCTGGGAGCACTGTACCAATGTGGCGGCGCTATTGACGCATGCTCAGGTTCCCTATGCGGTATCTAGTGTATATATCTATGGTGTACTAGGACGTGGGAGTGCGAGGCGGGCCTGGGGGACACGTATAGGCCCGTGGACACATACAACTCGCCCAAACTCACCCTCTGTTGGCCGTTTGATTGACAGACGATCCGGCCGCTATGCTTTGACCACGCCCCGAGGACCATGAAGAGAGACTCAGGCATGCAAACGATTAATCCGCCCTCTTACGGTTTAGTAGATCCGTCACTTTTTGTCTTGCTTGATATTCCGGCTTTTTGTGGTTTGAATTATGGTGAGGCGACAGCGCTACCCACGGCGCTACCGACCTCATAAGCAGAATTCAAAAAAAACATTTCTGACAATATGTAGGCATACTCATCATCGCAGTTTGTTCAAACCTGTTAGTGTCTATGAAGACAAAAGAAGATCATTTTAAGAATGTTGGAGGCCATGCAATTGCTACTAACTGCCATACTATTTTTGTAATGGATGCCATAACATAGTCTACATTGTCTACTTTGTCTTTTCGACAAAAGAAGAAATTGATGGGAACCATTTGATGGTAAGAAAATTATAGAGATCAAATTTTGTGGTGAACTATCCCTTTAAGCAGCTTTTTCCTACATTTATAACAGTGCTTCAACATCACTTCTTTGCATGCTCAAACATTAAGCAACAATCAAGAACTATTTTAGATCTAGAGGTGTAACACCACGTAACCAGAAAATTAAAACCACTAAATTGTTTTTGAACCGGCTCATAGAAAGGCTCTATTTGAAGGAACCGATTCACCGAAAAGACTCGGACCGTCTGAACTGGAATGACGTTACGTGATATCGTCAGCACAACACGCCCACAGCATCCGGAAGTGCTGTTGGTTTAAGGATTTGTTTTGATGTCATCGTAGCAAGTTAAAGCGTTGTGTATTCACATTGTATTTAGAATAACTAAGTTTAAAAGCTTATTGGAATCAACATTTTTTCAGTCTCACCTCGTTTTATTCGGTAGTTAGAGGTCGGGAAGTTCACATGAACGAGAACAACTCAAGAAAAAGAAACGCAAATCCTCAGAGGAACAGCTCGACTGTAATGATGAACAGGTTAAAATGATTTGCCATGTATAAGAGTTGAATTGAACCTTTAAACGTCGACCATGGATTGTACAGCTCTTGAGCTCGACGCTATTAAATTTGCCAAATCAGCTGTTTTGTATGATCAACGAGGGAAATACAATGAAGCTGTTTTCTACTATAAGGTAAGCTACAGATTCCCTTTGAACATTGAAAAATGATTTAATAAGTTTTTTTTTTAATTCTCATTATTCAGTGGATTTTTTTATTCTATGCTATAGCTGTAAATGTTGCCATAAAGTTTTCATTCATTTTCACTTTCAGCTGGAGATATATTTGGATTAAGCTTATATTTGATATTATAAACATTCCTTCAAATGTTCCATGATTGAATGGAAAAATTGGCTTTCTGTGCTATGGCTATACATGTTGACATTAAGTTTTCATTCACTCATACTTTGAGCTGGAGGTACATTCTGATTACTCTTGTATTTAATAATATGTTTGGTTTTCTGATTAGGAGGCTGCCCAGGCCCTCATCTATGCAGGGATGGCTGGATCCAAACTAGAGAACATTCAAGACAAGGTGAACGAGTACCTGGACAGAGTACAGACTCTTCTCAGTGCTGGTCAGTGTACATTAAATTATGCAAATGTGACTTCAACAACAACAACAGCAAAATGTTTTCCTCTGTTGATGATGAAAGTAAAGGGATAGTTCACACAAAAATACATTCTGGTCTCATTTATTCACCTGTTCTCATTTACTCACCTTTTTAATCTTTATGAGGTTCATTGTTCCTTCAAACAGAAAAGAAAATATTTTGGAGAATGCTGAAAACCTGTAACCATTGACTTCTACAGTATTTGTTTTTCCTACTATGGAAGTCAATGGTTACAGGATTTTAGCTGTCTTTAAAATATATTCATTTGCATAAATCAGAATAAAAGATACTCATAAAAGTTTGGATTTTGGGGGTGAACTGTTCCTTTAGTATTAAGCTTTTAGTTTAACTCAATAGGGCTGAATGTTGTCTGATGTTCTGTGGTAAACAAATGGGAAACCACCTCCATGTTGTAGTACGAAGAAATTTTGCTCAAATTTTCCGTGGCCCAACCTTCAGAAAGCTTACTTAGGCCATACCTCGTTTGAAAGTGCTGTGACTAATGCAGCTTTTGGGAATCACAGATGAGTGCTGCTAGATTTTCTAGTTCACGCTCACAGCATTTTTTTCTTCCTGGTTATGTAGTTTGAGAACAGCATCACAATTTAATCACCTTTAGGTCACTTCAAAACTGTATGACTTTCTAAAAGTGTTTAAATTGTAAAGAATTCTTCCAGTTGCTCTTTAGCCTGCAGCCACTGATAAAGTTTCTGACTGAATTAAAATTAATTTTTTAAAGTTTAAAGGGATTCAAAAGCAATACAAATAATAATAACTTTAAAAATAAAGGTAACTTTTAGAATATGCCAATTGTTATATTTGTGTGAGGTAAACACCAGAATTTAGGTTATATCAGGACTGTCCCAAACTAAAGATTTTCATGTTGACTTATAGTTGTTCATTTTAGCCATTAGTTGAATTATCACATTGAAGATGTGGTTCGAGTTTCAGGACTGAGAAAAAAAAATAGTAATGAACTTTGTCAGGGGAACACAGCAAGGAGACTACCTGACCCTTTTATTAATTTTTAATTTGTGAACAAATATGTTTGCTAATGGGGCAGTGTGGTGGCGCAGCGATTAGCAATCCCTCCTCACAGTAGGTCGCTGGTTCGAGCCTCGTCTGGGTCAGTTGGCATATCTGTGTGGAGTTGTTTGTGTGGGTTTTTCTTTGTGTGCTCCGGTTTCCCCACATGTCTAAAGACATGCACTATAAGTGAATTGGGTTAGCTAAATTGTCCGTAGTGTAAGTGTGTGAATGGGAGCGTATGGTTGTTTCCCAGTAATGGGTTGCAGCTAGAAGGACATCCGCTGTGTAAAACATGCTGGATAAGTTGGTTGTTCATTCTACTGTGGCGACCCCTTGATTAATAAAGGGACTGAGCTGAAAATAAAATAAACGGATTAATGTTTGCTAATTGCTACATTTATCCAAACTTAAGAACTTACATCACTATTTTGCATATAAAAAATAGATATACAGGGATTCTTCAGAAATAAGACATTTCTACAGAAATCCGAAATATTTGGGTAAACTGCAGCCATGCAAACAGATGAGCCTTTGAATGAAACCTTGAATGAAAAACTTTAGTCATAAAAAACAAAAAGTACTGTCTAGAAATACCTGAACAAATATAGGAGGTGGTCTTTAAATATGTAATAATACTACTTATAATAATATTTTTTATTTATATAGCGCCTTTCCAGAGCTCAAGGACAATTTACAAAGAATGCGACAAAAAGAGATAGTACAAGCAGATAAATGTAGTGACAGCATTAGATACACAAACACATAGGAGGTTAAATGTAACAAACTGGAAATACAAAAACAAGACCTAGGAGACAATTGAGCAGAGTGTAGGTGAATCAGATATAGTGGTCAGTTTGTCAGATCAGAAGTGTAACATTCAGAAAATAAGTGAGTTTTAAGTAAAGATTTGAATTCTGAGATATTATTTGCAGAACAGAGTGAGCGAGGTAGAGAGTTCCAGAGTATGTGTGTTTTATAATTGAGGGTCTAAAAACAACTGAAAACCACTACTCTTATTTATTTTATTATCTTTTTTTTTCTTTTTGTAGAAAATGTAATCATTTTATACAGCAAGGACACACTGAATTTATCAAGCGTGACCGAGATATAATAATATTCCCAACAAATCTGTCATCTGTCATATCCACACAAAATTTAAGCAGCACAATTTTGATAGGAATTGCCTCTTTGAGAACACTAAATTGGGAATTGGTTAAAACTAAAAGTATTGTTCCAACTACTAAGGCAGGAATCAATATTTCAATATAGAAGCTCCACTAAAAAAATTATTTCTGCAAAATGGTTGCAAACCGTTTATATGGGTTGAATTTAAACAAACAAATTAAATTTAGTTATGTTCAACTTAATTTGTGTTTAATGTTAGCCCAATTAAATTGTTTACAACCACTTAACTTAAACAAATTTAGTATATTAAAGGAATCATCTTTGAATACAAATCTTTATTTAGTCTTCTTCAAATCGTTTTTTTAAGGATTTTTGGTCAGAGATGAAACCTTTTATCAACGCTTACATTTTAAACAAGTGGCAAACGGAATGGGATGCATTAGAAAACAATAAATTACATGAAATCCAACCTGAAGTTTCACACAGAATTTTAAGACATTTTAAGAATCGATTTGATCAAGTAGTTTTTACCAGATGTCGTGTTGGGCATACGAGAATAACACATGGTTTTTTGCTCTAAGCTGAAAATCCTACTCAGTGTTTGTGCTGCAAAACTCCTCTTACTGTAAAACATATTTTACTGGACTGTCCTGTTTTTATTGATTCCAGAAGGACTTTTTATGAAATGAACTCTTTTAAGGACATTTTTGACAAAGTGAAACCAGAAAAGATTTTAGAATTTTTATCACATATTAACACAAAAAATCTTATTTAATTTATGTTTTATTTTGTTTTTTTATTTTTAAATTGTATATTTATTGTTGAAAGATTCCTGCCATGAAGATAGCCTTGGTTGCTGACATGGCACTAAATAAAAAATACATTACATTACATGAAGGATTTTTGTGTGAACTATTCCCTAAGACCTTCCTTTAAGACCTTTCTGTTAACTGACTGAATGGCTGTGATCAGTTCAAGCACAGAGCAGTGACCCTTTGAAGAGCAAGCATCAGCTGGATCTGGAAAGAGCGTATTTCCTGGTGACACAGGCTTTTGAAGAGGATGAGAAGGAAAACGCGGATGAGGCCATTGAGCTCTACACTCAGGCTGTAGAGTTGTGCATTCAAGCGGTGAGGCCTCAAATATGGAGAAATGATTCCAATCAGATGTCAGTATATTCAGAGATTTGGGGTTATTTATTCATTTATTTATTTGTTTATTCATTTGTTTATTTTCTTTTTTTTTCTTTTGAGAATTTTTTTTAGCAAGGATACGTTAACTTGATCCATAGTAACTACAGCAACAGCATTGATAGTCAGTGTTGTGTAAGTAACTTAAAAAGTAATTTACTAATTACTAACTATATAATTGTAACTGTATTTAAGAAACTTTTCTAATTACTTTATCTGAAAAGTAACTTACTCAACAAGTAATTTACTTACTTGACTAAATACTTTAAATCCACATAAATCTCAATGCATAGACGATAGAAATTAATGTATGATTATAGAATTTTGACTAAAATATTTTAGCTGAGTCAAACATGACCTTTTAGTTTTGCTTTTAAAATAGGACTTATTAACAATATATTCATTAAAACACAAATCTTTTCAAAGTAATTTCATACATATCATAAAATGCCACAAATTTAAAGCATGTGCAGTTGTCGGACAAATAAAACCTGTTTAATTTGAAAATTGAGTTAATATGCAAAAGATCTGAATAACAAAAAAAAAAAAAAAACATATTTGAAATTACTCTGCTTTATTATTGTCATTATACACTGTAAAAAAATCCTTAAGTATCCATATTTTTTTATCCAAATGGCTGCTCTTGTTAATTAATAAATGTTCTTGAAAAAAATATTATTTTGCTAAATATTTTTACTCTGCTTCTCTGAATTGATTTATATGGAACTCTTGAATTTCTGTACAATATTTAATGTACATCATAAGTAACTGTAATTAAATGACCTAAAATGAAAGTAATCACTTTTTCAGAAGAAAAGTAATTTATTTACAGTAACTAGTTACTTTGTGTGTAATTACACCAATGAATTCTGTTAATGTCATAAAAGTTTATTTTTCTATGAGTGTCCTTCCTTTCTGTTTATAAAAGTAGCACAAGGAAAAAAAAAGGAAATTATTCTTAAACATTAAATCGAGAAGGATCATGTGGCACTTAACATAACAACATGACATAACAGATGTAATTTATAGCATGAAAAAAAAAGGTTCAGACGTTTCACAATATTACTGTGTTTTAATCACACAAATGCAGTCTGACTGTGGATTAACGAGAATTATTTCAAAACATAATTTAAATAAAACAAACCACCCAGTTTTTGGACAGTAATGTAAAAAGGAACAGTAGCTGTTCTGTGTTGACTAGCAAACACTAGCAACAGTTCTGCAGCAATAGTCGCTAGTCTTTGCAACAGGTGTTGGTGTTAAGTTGGTTGTTTTGGTTTCATATCTCTGACTGACGGTTATATGGGCTCCTCTGGTAATTAGAAACGGCACCGCAGGCCTGTAATGTTTCATATCTTTCTCTCTACCACACAGTCCAATGAGACGTCAGATCCAGCGCTACAGGCGAAACTGAAGCAGCTTGCTCGACAGGCTCTTGATAGGTGATTTTTCTACAAGTTACTACTATCTTCCACTGCCAGCTTGTGAAACTTGCATTCAAATGATTTGAATCAAAGTGATTTAAAATGATTATGTTGTACTACACAAATAATCCATATAACAAATAATCAAAATAAGTGAGAGGGACTATTGAGTTTGTGCTTTGATTTTATCCATAATGAAAATAATGTTATGTTGGTGTTTTAACCACTTAATTGTCAACCACACATTTTGAGGTTTTACATGAAAAAATGTAGGTGATGTATGCATAATATAGACATTTTGTGAAGTTGAAATCAGGTTCGGGCTATTTAATTATGTATGTATGCATATATGTTTTTTTGTCATTTCTATGATCTTTTTAAGTGCTAAAAAATACCCTGCTTGCGGCATGGGACAGTTTTAACATGACATTAGTATCATAAACATAATATCCGATTATCATTTTTTGTTTTCCCTTCAACACAGTTAAATACAACACATTCATAATATTGTTGTGTAAATATATTATATTATACTATTATATAATATTACATTACATTACATTACATTACAATATATTATATTATATTATATTATATTATATTATATTATATTATATTATATTATATTATATTATATTATATTATATTATATTATATTTTAATATATATTATATTATATTATATATTATATTATATTATATTATATTATATTACTATACGTTTTTAGAGTTATTGTTGGTCTGCTGCTCATTATTCTAATAATACCTTTTAAATAAACAACAGCTAATTTTTTTAAAACAATCTTTTCACCATTATATTAAACACACTTCACTGATTGTTTTCAAATTAACAAAATCACTCCTGTGATTGAAAGAAAGCATCATGGTGAGTATATAAGCTGGATTATACAAATACAAATAAGCACAACAACCATGATTAACATTGATAACTGTGTAAATGTTGACTATCATTCATGTCAAACTAATGGAATATTGTGAGTAAAATATCAGCTTTTTCAATAGATGCTGTTAAAAAACAATCATGAAGCCTGCTTGTATCACACATTAATAAATAGATTGAAACAAGAAATATAGTAATCACCTCTCCTATGCCTCACTCAGGGCAGAGGGACTGAAAGACTCTGTTAGTAAACCTGCAAGCCAGGACAAGCCCGGCTCATCTGCATCTAAAGGCCCTGCTCAGGTTAGACAGTTCTTTCCACTCGGTCCAGACTTCTCTATCCATGACAAAGCTCAGCCGGTGCGAGCAGCACAGTCCAGTGAGCCGCAGGGCCAGCGTTACACGGCCGAGGAGATCGAGGTGCTCAGGTAAGCTCAGAGCAAGCATAATGTCATATGCATTTCATTTTTCATGGTCATTCTCCCTTTTAGATATTTTAATTACTTTTATTTGTCGTCTAAAACCTGCTAAAAGCAATGTACAAAAGCAACAATAATATAAATAAATATTATAATATATTTTTTTATGCCTGTCTTTTGTGGAATTTCAAATATTTATTTTTTACATGGATAGATGGATGGATGGATGGATGGATGGATGGATGGATGGATGGATGGATGGATGGATGGATGGATGGATGGATGGATAGATAGATAGATAGATAGATAGATAGATAGATAGATAGATAGATAGATAGATAGATAGATAGATAGATCAAGATTCTTTATCAGAAATCTTTCTTCATATAGCAAAATTAAAAAAAATCACTTAAGTTTATTTTTCTTCTGTTGCGTTTTGTAGGAAGACCTCCAAGATAAATGGGATTGAATATGTTCCCTTCATGAGTGTTGACCTGAGGGAGCGTTTTGCTTTTCCTGTTCCGTTCTCGTGAGTATTGTGGGGATTTTTTGTAGGTGAAGTTTATACATACACAGCTGTTTCACTGACACCCGTTGTGTGTTTTTTTAGAATGCAACATCTGTATTTGCTTTCAGTGCAAAAACTGAGATACATTTTAAAGGAAAAAAACCTTTATTTAATAACAATTCATTAAATGTATCTAAAGGGACAGTGTATATTTCATTTAAATGCTGATCTTTTGAACTCCATTTACATACTAATACTACATACAATTTCAAACCTTTATAAGAAATGATTTATAAGAAAGAATGAGCAATTCATAATATTAGTTTTACTAACATGATTACATGATTGTGTTTATACATAGTGACAAATGTGGGAAACTGGCACTGTCGCCGAAGCAGAAAGCCATATTTTCTCGCTGGGTTCGACCTGATGACATCTGCAATAACCCCACAATGATCTTCACTGTGTCCAGCTTCAGCATCAAGCAGGTCACTCCTTACTCATCTCTGTGCTGCGTTTGCTTTTTAATAACAATCTGACAACCAATCCACCTTTTCCTATGTACTGCGATCAGTGAAGTATTTTTTCTTTTATTTTTTTAAGTATTTTAAAAGCTGGCTACAGCGAGGAGTCCTTATTCTCCTCAGCGTTCACCCATCGAATGTTAAAAGGAAGCTTTTAATATACACAGATATGTTTATGATGCTAATGGAGCTCGCTACTACTCACTTTCATTAAGGACATGTATAGAGACAGAGTGACACGCATCATAATCTGAAAGCCATGACCACCATGAGAGAAACAATCCAACCTGCTCCACAGACTTATATTACAGGAAGCTACCTTCTTTTCACTTCTTACAAAAAAAAAAACAATGTTTAAAAACATAAGATGAACAGTAAACAAATTAAATAATGCAGAACTACATTTTTGTAAGCTGTTGACTCCAACTATGAGCGTTTAAGGACAAAGTAAATTTTCTTAAAACATATTTTTAAAATGTATTAATCAATTTAAGGTTCTTAAAAAGTATTAAAACATATTAAATTATAATTAAATTTAATTTTGTATAATTTTTAATTCTGCAATGTATAATTGTATGCTAAAGTTTTGCTGAATTTAATGTGCAAATCTTGGGGTACAGTGTACTTTCTCTAAAATTTGTACACATTTGTTCAAAATAAATGTTGTTTTAAAGCAGCGTTACAAAAAGTTCACATCATTGCAAACGATCAAAATCTGAAACGTTAAGGTTTTTAGTTAACATAACTTTTTTAGTTACTAATAACTTTAATTAACTTATTTCTAATAATTTTAAAAGGTAAAGTGCAGTAGGTGATGCACCAGAATGCTAGCATTAGCATATAGCTTAGAAATTTTACGACCCTTCCCTGCCCTCCAAAGCTACGCCTCTTTAAGTCATGAACTCATGAACGCGCACTGATTAGATATAACACTAGATCATGTCATTTACCAGTTAGAAAACTCTATGGGGACACGCACTTTATCAAGCGTAGTTGTTGACAGGCCAGCGGGTGCAGGAATTATATTTCCTCCAAACTGTGTCACAGGCTGTCACTGTTCAAAAATAAAAAAATTGTGTGAATATAAATCAAACTTCACCTCAGTAAAGCTGGTTAGGCGGAAGAGCACATTTACTTAAATAAAAGTAAATAAAGTAAATTAAATAAAAGTTAGATCAGAAAAAAAGCAGTGCTAAAAACAGAAATATCCTGTCATCTTTTTACATTACACTTATGTTTACGTTGCCAAGACAACGAGGGACTTTTCATTTTTAATTGTGCTCGCTGATCCTCTTACATGGCTTGTTTTCATCTCTTTCTACACTTGATCAACTAAACGAATGCTTAGGTCTATTTAACAGACTATATTATTGATGCTATAAAAGGTACTCCATGAACTTGAAAATAGCCAATCTTTTGCCGGACGCAGTGGCTGTACAACACTTCCATGCATAACCCATTCATAAACAAAAACACAGTCTACATAAGCTTTGCATGGCTATAATAGTTTTAATACATACCTGTCTAAACTTAATACTTCAGCCATGGTGTCACCCTTCAGATCATTGTTTTGAACTGCATAACGTCATTGCCCTCCAGTGTGCAAAAGTAATTCGGATATTGATTCAGGGTGTAGAAAAGTTTTGATTCTGCATTTTAGGCAGAAGCCCTTTCAGAAATCTTTCTTTTCATGCATACAAGGGCACGTTGGTCTTTCAGAAAGAAGTTCAGGTTGTTGCAAAGTTTGCTGATGACGTCTCTCTGTTAGAGGTTGATCCGTGCTTCACGTGTGCGGGTGAGTGACATATCCGTTTGCTTAAAGAGGCTGCGCAGAAATTCACATTTAAATTTGTTTACAGACAGTTTGAGATACATTTCGTAATTAAAATTACGATAAAAAATAGTCACAAACTCAGTGAATGTGTGTGTCTATGTGAATGTGTCAGGGTTCATACGGTCCTGGAAAAGTCATGGAATTTTGACAAGGCATTTTCCAGGCCTGGAAACGTTTTGGAAAAATAAATAAACCCAAAATGTTTTGGAAAAGTCATGGAAATTTGTTTACAAATATTTGTGTACTTGAATATATTTGAGATGATAATATTGGGTAAATGTCTAATACAACTGCGATGTCTATACCTTCACGTGAAATTGTCTGTGTGGGGGGCAACAAGAAACCTGCTGTTTCAGCGTCACCTCTCTTTCACTTGCATACATCGTAACTCAAGATACATTTGAGTGTCATGTCCAGAAACAAACTCTACAGGGGTAGGATAATGTGGGGTCTGAAAGCTAATTTGTGCTAATTTAATAAGTCTTGTGAAGACTCAAGCCAACATTTTTAAAAAGTTTCACACAAGATATTTCATATATTTTAATATGTAGTATAAAATGAACTACATACATTTATTATTATTATTTTTTTGATATGCTGTTATAAATTTAAGCATACTTTTTTTTTCTTATTTCCCACATGTACGTAGACATTACATGAAACATTAGGCCATGAATATTTACCTGAAAGCTTTGGAAAAGTCATGAAAAAACCTAGAATTTTAGTAGTAAAAATGTGTATGAACCCTGGAGTGTGTATGGATCTTTCCCAGTACTGGGTTGCAGCTGGAAGGGCATCCGCTGCATAAAACATATGCTGGATAAGTTGGCAGTTTATTCTGCTGTGGCGACCCCAGATTAATAAAGGGATTAAGTCAAAAAGAAAATGAATGAATGAATGAACTATAAGGTGCAGCACATGCAAATAACATTACTGCATCGCTGTCTGCTTTATCAACATTATAGGTTGTCAAAATAATACAGCTTCTTACAGAAATAAATAACTGACATTTGAATATTTGACTTTCCTTTAACAAAAATGCAAACCTAGACTTACTTTGTGTCAGGATCACACAATTCACATCTTCCTGCCAATGATTCACATCTATTACATATAGCAGGGCTGGATTTCACGGTTTTGTATCTTATAAAATATTATTGTTTACCTTTTCACACCATGTCACACAGCAGCTTTTGGCATTGTTCTATTTTAAGTCAGAAAAGATAGCCAGCCTCCTGCAATAGAAAGTCAATGTAGTGGGTTGGATTGTTTTTCAGGGTGGGTGTGGCCTAAAAACATATTTTCTCAACTATTTGTTGCACAACATTATTATTTTAAATATTTAGTTCCAGTTTATTGAAATGCAAGTTCTACAAACAGTGCAACCCATCATTTAAAACGCAGTAGTCACATGCGGAAAAGGTGGATAGTTTAAAGAAGCTTTGCAGATGAGAAAGCTTTCCTGTTTGCTCTTTGATCTTGTGTAATGTTTGTGTGTTTGTCCATGTTTTCAGACGGTTGTGTCGGACTGTTCTTTTGTTGCATCATTGGCCATCAGCGCAGCATACGAGAGACGCTACAGCAAAAAGTTAATCACAAGGTAAAATGGGTGTGCTAGTTTATGCTACTAGGATAAGTCACGTATTAAAGGGGTAGTTCTCTTGAAAAATGAAAGTTTACTCACTGCCTCAGATTTACTCACCCGCTCAGATTCACTCACCCTCAAGTGGTTATAAGCCTTTATGAGTTTCTTTATTCTGTGAAACACTAAAGAAGATATTTTGAAGAAGGTTGAAACCTGTAACCATTGACTTCTATACTAGTAGAAAAAAACAAATATTATGGTAGTCAGTGCTTTCTTCAATATTTCTTCTTTAGTGTTGAACAGAAGAAAGCACCCTTAGAAAGGTTTTGAACTAGTAAAGGGTGAGCAAATGATGACAGAATCTGCATTTTTGGGTGAACTATCCCTTTAGAATTACTCTCAGATTATCTTTTAGATTCCTCATGGACTGACTCATGCTAGGTGTCCTTAGAATGAAATGTAAAATATTCCTAAACAAGCACCTCTAATTTGATAATCACTTTAATTATTTATAAATACATAATAGTGTTAAGTCAAGGGTGGTTTCTGTACTGATATCAAAATTCTAAGTTTGTGTGTTTGTGTGTAGCATCATCTACCCGCAGAACAGAAAAGGAGAGCCAGAGTATAACCCCTGTGGGAAGTACATGGTGAAGCTTCATATTAATGGCGTCCCAAGAAAGGTGCTCAGCCTCAACTTCACCTTTTGTTATCTGTTCTGTCCCTCCAGGATTTTGTCAGTTCAGCACATTTCTTTTTTTAATCAAGCAAATGCCGCAAAATTCATATCAGATTTGCATTTTTTTCTAAACTACTGCAAATTTTCACATTCTACAAACTTAAACATTTTCATCTGGACTAAAACATGCCAGAAAAGAGTCTGATTTTGAAACATGTTTTATTTGGATTACTCTGTATTATATTGATAGTTATTTTAGCTTTATTTCCATTATCAAAAAATACTAATAGTAATAGTCTGATCTTTCTTAATGCATTAGGTCTGATTAAAAAAAATGTACACAAAATTAGCAAAACATTTTATTTCTTATTCTACGCAAATGCTGAAAGATTCAGATCTGATTGCAAATTTTTTTTTTTTTTTTCTAAATTACTGCAGATTTCCACATTATTCCACATTACTCAAACATGCCAGAAAAGAGTTTGATTCTGAAACATGTTTTTTTTTAGATTACTCTATGTTATACTAATAGAATAAAATGTAAGCTTTATTTCAATTAACAAAAAAATTAAATAATAATAATTGTCTGGTCTACTGCAATGTATTAGGTCTGTTTAAAAATAAATTAGCACAATTTTACTCTGTAAATTAAGCAAATACTGCTAAATTCAGATCAGATTGCAATATACTGCAGACTTCTACATTCTACAAAACATTTTAATCTGGGCTTGAATACAGCGGGAAGTAGTCTGATTCTAAAACATGTTTTATTTGGTTTACTCTATATTATATTGATGGTTCATTTTAGCCTAAAATATATACTAATAGTTTGATCTACTCTAATGTATTATTACATCAGGTTTTTAATGGCATATTTGATATCTAGTAAGAATATGGTAAAAAATAGAAGCTCAAATAACTAAATTAATTTGGTTGTTACAATATTTATATGGGCACAAATGTAAATCACTCTATTTTTTTTACACAATATAGTAAAGTATTTGTATAAATTGCATATAAACAATTTATTTCTTTACATTTCAATATAGTTAGTCTTTTTCAAAATTACATTTCAATGCTTGATTTTCTGGTGAAATGACCGGCAAAGCATGATGCAATGCAGTAGGCCTATAATGCTGATTAACCGAAGAAACAAATACATGATATTTGATCAAATCATATTTTATCATGATTAATGCGTGCAATAAAGTGCATGTAATTTACTGTCCATCAAAATTGACATGGTTTATCTATTTGTTTCACTCAGTGATTCCTTCTTGTAAATTACAGAGGTGAGTGGTTCTTCAGTTCAAAAATGGAAATAAAACTTAGAAGAGTTGTCTGTGTACATTTTCACAGCAAAACTACCCCAAACAAGTGGCACATATTTTTAAAATGTGTGAAAAGCCACTTCAAAACTAGTCATTTAAGATTGTTAAAATCTGTAAAGTGTCCAATAATGGAGGGAATGCCTGTTTGACGATGAACAGGTTCTACAGATTCTATTGTCTATTGTTATAGTTCATGTTTGTGTTTCTCTCTCAGGTGATCATTGACGATTTTCTCCCGGTGGACCGCAATGGTGAGCTGCTTTGCTCCTACTCAAGTAATCGCAATGAACTCTGGGTATCGCTCATCGAGAAGGCCTACATGAAGGTTATGGGTGGATATGATTTCCCTGGCTCCAACTCTGTAAGTGACATTTAGACTCTAATGCTGTTTTAAACCCAACATTTCTGTCAATAAAATGTGCAAGTTTTACAAAAGATAAATCAATTTTGTACAGATATTTAAATTGTATTTGTCCTGGAAGCTGCTATTTATTTTGCCCTATATAATAGTGAATGCTTGTTTAAAATTTTTATATGTTTGGTATGTGTATTTTAAAGAGGTCTCCTATTCTTTATAGCTGTTTTCTATTTTCATATATACTAAAAGGCAATTTATTTATGCGAAGGCAAACCTGAATTTTCATTAGCCGTTACTCCAGAATTTAGAGCCACACAATCCTTCAGAAATCATTCTGACATGTTGATTTGGTGCACAAGTAATGTTTGTTCTTGCCAATTTTAAAACCAGGCCTGTTGATTGTATGTGTGGAAACAAAAAGCTTTAATCAATTAAAAAAAGTTAAAAGATCAACACATATTTGTCTTATAAATATCTTTATTGACACTTTTGATCAATTTAATGCAATCCTAACTGAATAAAAATACATTTAAAATTTTTACTGTGCCAAACTTTTGAATAGCAACGCCTCCTTATTTGTAATAAATAATTTTTCTACAGAAGCAACACAAATATTCACTTTATTACATTCAGTTAAATTAAAAAAAAAAATACAAATGAATTTAGTTAACACAACACGCGTTGAGATTATCCTCTGCATTATTGTGAGGTGTAATGTTGTGATGCTAATTGTGATGCTTTTGTGTTTTCCCATGTCAGAATATTGATTTACACGCTCTCACTGGCTGGATCCCAGAGCGTATTGCTATGCACTCAGACAATCAGTCCTTTAACAAAGATGACACTTTCCGCATGCTTTACCAGAGGTGAGCACACGTTCACAGGATACACACAATTCACTGGTGTGCATTGATTTCTGACCTTTTTAAGATTATTTGCTCATGTATGTACAGATAGTTCTTCAAATTGTATATGCTTATATATATATATATATATATATATATATATATATATATATATATATATATATATATATATATATATATATATATATATATATAATTTTATTTATTTATTTATTTTATTTTTTATTTTTTTAATTTGTTCTTTTTTACATTTTTTTTTTGAGGACAAACAGTGTTTTTGAACCTAATGAATACAGCAGAAGTTAGTTAGTGATTCATTTGAATTATTAATTATTTAGCCTGGCATGTTTACTGCTCCCAAATATTTTACATTTTTCAAAATATAAAATATGTTGTTTTCAAGGGGGAAAAAATTTTGTTATAAAAACATTTTAAAAGAACATATTTTTAAAGCAGTAATCACAATATCGCGATACTGTGGAATCGTGATATTTTTATCCAAGGTTATAATACAGTCAGAATCTATTTCTGGCCCATGCCTAATATAAGGTAAGTTGTTATATATGTTTAAAGTAGGAAATGTTTAAAAATGTATTTATATAACATGATCATAACTTAACATTGTGATAATTTTGGCATAAAAGAAAATTTATGCTTTTAACGTTTTTTATTTGTATTTTTGAATGTTCAAATTGCAAATTAAAGACTTTTTTTGGTTTGGTCCATTAACAAATTACAAAATTTGAGCTTTTATTTTTTTGTTTCACTTTATTTTAATTGCAGTAATTTAGAAATATGTTGTACTCAAGCTTTTTTTTGTCTAAAATTCATAGTAGTTAATGTTAGGTAATGCATTAACTAACATAAGCAAAAAACAACACATTTATTTCAGTATGTGTTCATGTTAGTTAACAATAATAAAAATACAGATTTTCATTGTTAGTTCATGTTAACTCAATGCATTAGCTAATGTTAACAAGCATTGTTTTAAATGTTAAGAATGCATTAATAAATGTTAAACTATGATTAATAAATGCTGAACAAGTATAGTACAAAATTAGTTCATGTTACTAAATACATGATCGAATAAAACCTTAATATAAAGTGTGACTGTTTTTTTTCTTTTTTCCCCTATTTACTTATGCTACAGTAATGACATAAAAGCAAGATTTTAATAGTCTGATCTACTCTGGCAGGTTTCATAGAGGAGATGTTCTCATCACAACCGCCACAGGGGTCATGACAGAAGAGGAGGGCGAGAGATGGGGTTTAGTGCCCACACATGCTTACGCCGTACTAGATATCAGGCAATACAAGGTAAAAATGTCTTACAAGTAATGTCTCCTACATAGATTGCCTCATGACATTATCATCACCTCCTTTTTCTTCTCTCAGGATAAACGTTTCCTCCAGCTGAAGAACCCGTGGAGTCACCTCAGGTGGAAAGGCAGCTATAGCGAACGTGATGAAAAAAACTGGACACCAGATCTTCTCAAATACCTCAATTTTGACCCCAAAACCGCACAGAAGTTTGACAATGGTAAGCCGGAGCTGAACTAACAATGACTCAAACATTGTTCTAGAAGTTCTTTCTCACATGTATGTTTTAATTGAAGGGGTGTTTTGGATTATCTGGGAAGACTTGTGCCAGTATTACGACGTCATCTACTTGAGCTGGAATCCTGCGCTGTTCAAAGAGTCCTCATGTATTCACAGGTTTGGCTTCTTGCTGTTTAGTAGTATTCAGAGTAGTGCTGCATGGTACTGGAAAAATATGCACTATTATTGTTTGAGTATTGTAATAAAGATATTTATTACGATATAACATTTTCCTAGAAAAATGTTGTTTTTATTAGCTATGTTATTAAATCATTCATTTATTTTATGATATTAAAATAAACAGGTAAAATACATTTTTCAGATCTAATTCAGACTTTAAAAAAACTCTATCATGGTCATACCCCTGGAGCAATAAGAACATGTTTGGCACGATTTGTTGCTTTTTTCAGACCAGCACAACCCTAATATTTACGTTTTGCACCACGTTTAAATTGCAAATCCATTTATAAAGGAGGTGTGTTAATGCGCATTGTTGGTGCGTTGCTATTTTGAGGAACTGAAATAGACAGCACCATTGACCAACTAAAAGCTGGTCTAAAGTTAAGGAGTAAAAGTAAAGTAAAGAGGCTGAATAAAGGAGGCTCAGTTTTTATCCTCACACTGCAGATGGTCTATTTTCTTGCTAGTGAAGCGTTCAGTTTTTCCACTTACAAAGTCTGCCCTGTAAATAGCAAATGTGTCATGATGTGACGCAACTGACTCTTAAAGGGAATGGGAGATGAGACTCTGATTGGTTTAATGTATGTTATGCTCAAAACACACCCATAACTCATTACGAGAATAAGCACAACTCTGTTAGACCAGTGGTTCTCAAAGTGGGGGTCGGGACCCCCCAAGGGGTCGCGGGGCAATGAAGGGGGGTCGCCTGGTGATTTCCAAAAATCTATTTATTTTTATTAAACCATAAGAATTAACATATTTTATCCATAACCATACTGAAAATAAAAGTATGTATGAAAATAAAAGTATGTCGTTTATAGTTAATATATACTATATAGTAGCTTATAGTTACTAGTTCTATTGGATTGCGACCCCAGGGGTAATTACATTATATTAAAGGCAGCAATAGCGTCAGATGCGTTTTGATTTTATAACATCAGGTTATACTTTCTGGCACATTTAAAGCACTGACACAAATTTAATTGGTGTGTCTGCGTCATTGCTTGCAAGGTTTCTGTATTTATAACCACCTCAGAGGATATTGGGGGTCGCGAGTCACTGGCATTGTTATTTTGGGGGTCGCGGGCTGAAAAGTTTGGGAACCCCTGTGTTAGACCATGCTCCAGGGCACAGTGTATTTTTCCATCCTTAAAATTGCAAAAGTGAATTCGAACATGCTCTTAAGGCTTTTGCACCATGCGCTTTAGACTTTGCACCTAGATCATTAAAATAGAGCCCTCAGTCTTTACAGCAATATAAGTAAGTAAAAAAACCTCAGCAGATATTCTGTCTCTGATTGGTTGTCATTTCCTCTCTCATCTCAACTCCTGCCATTAGTGTTTGTTTTTAGCTCTGGGTTCACCTTTTGGGTCGCTCCAGCAAATAGCTGGGAGATGGTAAGGCCCCATCTGATTGGTCTGCAGGGATAATTTACACTTTAAACCCAAAGAATGACCAGTCTATCAGATGAAGACGAGCCGGAGTCAGAGATTCAAATAAATAAAGTTTACTGAAGATAGTTTGCCATTTTGTCAGCAGAAGCCAGCTTCAGCACTCGCAATTCGTTTCTAGGCCGCTCTGCTTACAATAATAAATCAACATCTGTTATAATCTCAAATAGCGTCATTAACCGCGTCATACATATGGGTGTTTTAACCTGATTTGTTAAAACTTAGATAAACTAGGAAAATTTCCTTGTGGGTGCGTGCGTACAATTTTGATGTAAATCTCAAGCATATAAACATCAGACATCCACTAGACTGTTTAAAGCTGACCTCAGACTTGTATAAAGGATCCACAATCAAAAAGAACACATACACACTCACACACACACAATCAAAGCACAATCTGTTTCTTACCCAAGGCTGAGTGTACTCTCAACTGTCTTTATCAAAACTGGGTAAAAAAAGAAAACGGTACAATCTACATTCAGGCAGTTATATTCTCACTACACAAAGGCTATCTGAATAAAAAGGAAAATCACTTTAAACAGAATTAACACATAATAATAATATCAAAATTACTTTAGACAGTATTAACACATAGCAATACAAATACCAGTACTTTATCTGATATTTTGAACTTTTTTCTATAAATATATAATTTCTTATACAGCGTTTTTGTTTTAAACTACTGAAATGTCAATAAAAGTCCTTGTTAAACTGCAGAGCTAAATTTTTTCATTCTTAAAAGTCAACATAGCAGAGATCAAGGTTCCATAATGCATTTCATAACCGTAAATAAATGGAACATTCCCATTAATCACAAAATATAGAAGCTGTTAATTATTGTGTTACAATGACTGTGTCCTTGATCACTCAATTAATATGGAAATAAAGAAACAACACTGTCAGAACAGAAATGTTTTTTGTAACAACTCAATATTACCAAAACTTGAGCGGTACTTTTGTAGAAATTATCTCCTCATTGCTGTCCTTGTTCTGCTTTTCCCCAATGCACAGATTCACATCAGCTTATAAATTAAGGTGTAAACACTAAACACTAACTTTAGGGGCTTTCAATGTTTCATATTTGATTTTTACATATCCAAACTTGCACTAAAATGGCATTAACCACATTCTTAAAAAAAAAAAAAAATAATAAATATATATATATATATATATATATATATATATATATAAATATATATATATATATATATATATATATATATATATATATATATATATGTATATGTATATGTATGTATGTATGTATTTGTGTCTATGTATATGTATATGTGTGTGTGTATTATTGCATTGCAGTAGCTGGGATGGCAAACAGGGACCAGTGAAGGACGTCTACAGTTTGGCCAATAACCCTCAGTACAAGCTGGAGGTGCAGTGTCCTCAAGGGGGCGCTGCTGTATGGGTACTGCTGACTAGACACATCACTGACAAGGCAAAGATACATAGTACATTACAGTGCATTATTATTATCAGTCTTGGGATACTACTTCTAACAAAAGTCTTTCTGATTCTCTCTCAAGGATGACTTTGCTCAAAACCGGGAGTTTATTACGTTAGTGGTTTACAAGACTAATGGAAAGAAAGTTTACTATCCAGGTAAATAAGCACATACATGTATATTTTAAGTACAGAGGAAGTTAAATTGTGTGTACTTTATATTCTAAAATCTAAGTCACATTTTGTTTTTAAACATCTGAAATGTGTTGCAAATATTGTTTAGCAGCTTTTATAATAACAAAAAAGGTATAGTTCACTCAAAAATCTAAATTTGCTCACTATTCACTTCCCCTTTAGTGGTTCCCAAACCTGTTTGAGTTTCTATCTTCTGTTGAACACAAAAAGAAGATTTTTTAAATATTGCTGAAACCGTTGACTTCCAAAGAAGGAGAAACAAATACTTCTTTTTTCTTACACGTTTGTAATCAACAGGAGAACAAAATAAAGGTTTGATACAAGTAAATGGTGAGTTATTGATGACAGAATTTTCATTTTTGGGTGAACTGTCCCTTTAATGTCAAGGAAGAAATGTGTCCAATCATTTAAATTTGTGCCAAATAAGAGTGAACCAATTATTTGTGTTTCTCATTTAATTCCTTTTTATAGCGTTTTAGTGAATGCCACAGTAATTTCCATTCTTTATCTGTATTGAAAATTGTAAAAATGACAAATTTGTTGTTAAGTGATCATAACTAAAAGGCTTTTTAAAAATTATCTACTGGTAGCCCATTTAAAATTATTTCTGAATGAAATTATAACACTGTGAGTGGAGTATGTGGCCAGACTGCCTGCAGTGGCAGAGAGCAGGTTGGGGGATCGACGGCTGAGGAAGTAGGTCAATAAAAGTTAAGACTAACACCTGTTTGATCTCAGTGATTATGATTTAAAAGAGAGACGACAGGCTAAGAACGACAGAGTGATAACCCTTGTGTACTGTTCAAATCGACTACCCTTTCGTTATGTTCGAGGCTGTTTTTGTTCCATTGACTTCCATTATAACCACACTTTTAATTGCAAAGCCATGATACCAAATAATCATGCATTCTTGACTGTTGGTGGTTTTTTTATTGTTGGGAACAGGTCAAACTTTCTTTTTTTACTGTTGGTCATGAGTTGGCAGCATTAACCCTTTAGATAGGCCTGTGCAAAAAAACTTTCTGGTTTTTATAAGGAGTTCTATGGAGTATATCAGATAGTAGTGTCCGTGCATAAATACACTTATGTTTGGATTAACAGGTATTAGTCATTAATTTGATTGAACTACTTTTTCAGCCATCGATCTCGAGTTTTCTTGTCCTCTCAGCAATGACGAACAAATGCTAAATTCCTCCATCAGAGATGAGACCTTTTGTTATATTTCAAACAAGTGGCAAGAGGAATGGGATGCATTAGAAAATAATAAATTACATGAAATTCAACCTGAAATCTCACACAGAATTTTAAGACTAGATTCGATCAAGTAGTTTTTACCAGATGTCGTATTGGGCATACAAGAATAACACATGGTTTTTTGCTCCAAGGTGAAAACCCTACTCGATGTTTGTGCTGCACAATTCCCCTTACTATAAAACAAATTTTACTGGACTGTCCTGCTTTTAATGATTCCAGAAGACTTTTTTTATTAAATGAACACTCTTAGGGACATTTTTTCATTTGTTTGTTGATATTTAATTGTATATTTATTATTGAGATATTCCTGCCATGAAAATAGCCTTGATTGCTGACATGGCATTAAATAAAAAAAAAACATTACATTACATTACTCAGCAATTCGACTTGGTGCAACTAATCAGGTGTGACTTATTTTCCTGAAAAAAACAGCATTAGAATCGTTTATTGTGGATTTACATTTAATGACTTTGCAGATGCTTTTATCCTAAGCAACTTACAAGTGAGGAATAAAATGCTGTGATAATTCTAAGTTATTATGTCTACAAGTCTACGTTTTAGTTTATTCAAACTTTTTTTTGAAAAAGAGGAGAGGGTGTGCCCAATAGGTGGTTTGTCAAGCCCACTCACCTTAGAGGAGCCAACTCAGAATTGCACGAAATCTGGAGCTTATCTAACAAAATAACTTATAATAACAGTCCAAAAACTAGTACATCCAAATGGAAATGTTCTAGAAAAATATTAAGTACAGATTAGGGTTTGGGCAATAGATGATGCCATCGTCCATCGCCACTGGAAGTCTTTTATCCACTCTTGGAAAAGTGTAAATAGGAGATTAACATTCAGCACATGATCACTAATAAGATGTGCCATTGTTAGTAACTGTAGGTGGTTTCTAAAACAAAATCTGTCAGTGTCATTTTCATTCTCTCATCTTCAGCGCTTCACATTTTCGCAGTTGTAGTTTCTGTCATCTGAAGGCAGAAGGCATTGACTGAGTGATTGACAGCTGATATTAACCAATCCATTCGCGTTCAGTTCCAGAGCTGTGGGCCAATAAGGGCACAAAGGCAGGGCAAGCTTTTTTTACTTCAGAAAGTTCACATAACAACTGTTTTAATCTGTTCCTCTTTGGCGTTTTTAGGTGCAAACATGTATTCTGCATAAATGTCTCCTAAATCTACACACGAGGATTTTGCCGTGAAAACAGTGAAAATATATACACTACACAAATGCTTTCAAATATATATTTTAGATCGCATGGATAAAATTTCGGCCGCCCCAGCATCTTTACTTGTTGTTATTTTCTCCTAATAATAATAAAAAATAAGTTATCATCAATCACAATACAAGTTACAGTGAAATACAAAGGAGCTCTCGTCTCCTCCACCAGCTGTGGGAAAAGCCATTATAACGACACAGATCACTCTGCCTATTCATGCCAGAGTCCTGAGGAAATAAGACTGTATTTATTTATGGTTTGGTTATGGGTAAAGCAAAGACCTTGGGGGTCTGGTAATGAAAGCGCTAGGCTACAATTAATTAATTCGTTATGAATTAATTGATATTTAACAACCACCACCCCCACCTACGACGACAATGCCATCGTCCATCGCGATGTTTCACATTAGACATTGCACGGTGCCAAATTGGTCAACATCGCCCAACCCGAATACAGATTTTAAAAACAGGAAGAATAAAGAGAAGTTGAAATTTTGTAGGTTGTAATTTTTCTGCAATATTTTGCTTGGATTTAATTGTATTATTTTTCAGCTTCTAAATATGTTTGGTGACTAAAATAGTATTTTAATAAATATATCTGTTGAATAAATCTGTTTTGTTTAAATGCACCAAAATACATTGCCTATATTCAATGAGTAATGGATCCAAATATTCATTTTCACAATGGGGTGTACTCAATTAATCTGAGGACTGTATAGGGGTATAAAATTATGGGGTATTAGAGTATCAGGTTTAGAAGTATAGTGTACATAAAAGGAAGTGTGTGGTAGAAATTTAGAGTGAAGAGTGTGTCACCTACAGGTGGTTTGTAAAGCCCACTCACCTGTGTAAAGCACGCTAAAAATTGCAAGATTGTTTTCAGAAACATTAAGAGTTAGTAAGAAAGTGTCTGTGCATACATAAAGGAAAATAGTTTGTCATTTAAAGGTGCTTTTGTAAGGCCCACTCACCTGTGTGAAGCACACTAAAAATTGCAAGTTTGTTTCCAGAAACATGAAGAGTTGGTAAGAAAATGGCGGGTGTATACATAGAGGAAAAAAGTATGTCATTTGCAGGTGGTTTATAAGGCCCACTTACCTGTTTGAAGCACATTAAGAATCGAAAGATGTTTACAGAAACACTGAAAGTTTATAATTACCGGGTGCATGCAAAGAGGAGAGAGTGTCCATTATTTATATTCTTCTGTGCTCTGTTTGGTTTTCGTTCTGAAGCTGAACCTCCTCCCTACATTGATGGCATCAGGATCAACAGCCCTCACTACTTAACCAAGATTAAGCTGACCAGTCCAGGAACACACACCTTTACACTCGTGGTCTCCCAGTATGAGAAACAAAACACCATCAACTACACATTAAGAGTAAGACGCATGTACAGATGTTGGTTTTTGTTTTCATATTAATTGAATCATATTAACTGTTGTCGTGTATGTGTTTCTAGGTGTACTCGGTGTGCAAATTTAATTTCTCCAAAATCCCAACACCCTTCACCAACACCAAAAGGGTGCGTTGAAACTTCTACTGTAGTTTTTTTTTGTGTACGTGGATATTGTCGGAAGCTGTCTCCAAATTGTTGAATATCCCTTTGTTTATTCTTGTTATGTATAGATTAATGGCCAATGGAAGGGTGCCAGCGCTGGAGGATGTGGGAATTACAAAGACACCTACAAGAACAACCCCATATACCAGCTCAACATGGAGAAACCAGGCCCTCTGCTCATTGAACTCCGCGGCTCCAGGTCAGACTGTTTGTCTATTTACTCCACGCCGCTAGAGGCTACATTTCCTTTCTTTCAATACATTTTAGTGATTACTATCCATTTTATCTGAAGTCTTACATAATGGATCACTGGGTCCAAATGCTAGGAAATCTGATCGCAGTAGGAAACAAATGCATGTTACATGTGCTACAATATTAAATTATGGTGCTAATTTCTAAACTCAGATTTGCAGACTGTTATGCTGCATTTCTAAATAGTTAAAATAATGGGTTTCTTTATGCCACAAGATTAGAAACTATAGTGTACATGCCATGGTAAGATTTAAAAAAAAATAGCTTGAATGAATGAATGAATGAACTATTTATTCATATCAGACATTTATTAATTTTCTTGTCGGCTTTGTCCCTTTATTAATCGTGGGTCGCCACAACGGAATGAAGCACCAACTTATCCAGCAAGTTTTTACGCAGCGGATGCCCTTCCAGCCGCAATCCATCTCTGGGAAACATCCAAACACACATTCACACACACACTACGGACAATTTAGCCTACCCAATTCACCTGTACCGCATGTCTTTGGACTGTGGGGGAAGCCGGAGCACCTGGAGGAAACCCACATGAAAGCAGGGAGAACATGCAAACTCCACACAGAAACGCCAACTGAGCCGAGGTTCGAACCAGCGACCCAGTGACCTTCTTGCTGTGAGGCGACAGCACTACCTACTGCGCCACTGCCTAGCCGAATAAATAGTTATAGTATGTTTTTCTGATAAATCAACAAAATAATTTATACTCCTTAAAAAACTGGGCTAATTGGCTGTTCCTTATTATTTATTTGTTTGTTTGTTTGTTAAATTAGCAATTTCTTTTACCGTATTTTGATAAAATAAAATCTTTAGTGAGCATAAACAAACAAGAAAATCCAACTCACCCCAAAATTTTGGATAGACGTGTATTTATTTACATTTGAAGACAAATTTAGCCCTCCTGTAAAATTAAATCATTTTTCAAATATTCCAAAAAATAAAAAGGAGGATAATTATATTGACCTCAGCAGTTTTTCTTATTCTAGTCAAACTAAAAGAATTAAGACTTTCTCCAGAAGACAAATATACAATGAAATACTATGAATAATTTCCTTGACTCTTTAGCTGTTAGAGGATTGTGAAATCTGACAGGACATTGGATTTCCCTTGACACATGAAGTAACGTGGACCAGCTTTCTCCCGGAAACACACCTACTCACATTCAGATTTCTGTCTCTCTGTCTGCTTTCGCTGTGTGAGGATGAATGATAAAGTGTGATGCCTGTGAATATAAATGAACTTAGCTTTCCCATTGCAGGCAGTACAGTGTGGGCTTTGAGGTGGTGACCGTATCGACTACAGGGGATTCTGGATCATCAGGCTTTCAAAAGAGAGCGAGCGGAGATTACCGGTAAAGAAATACTCTAATTCGAATAAAAATGGCTAAATACATGCAGAGTCCATAGTATTTCAAAGTCTGTCAACTTTGTCTTCCATAAAATGAGGCACACTTGCTATGTGTATGCACTAGTGTGCTATTTAGTGCATACTGTGCATTTTACACATAAAATAGTGCCCACTAATTGTCAGTATGCCACAGTAAATGTAAGAATTTACAGAGCAAGTGAAGAAAAAAACAGTTAGAATAGAAAATGTCCTAATAGCACAACCTCATTGCATGCATGTTTAATAGTATTGCTATTTTTAATTTTGGCATGCTAATAGTCACCTGGCCGGCATATATCTATGTACAGTGGAGATCAAATTTAGAAAATAATCAATGAACATTTGAATAATTTCAACTTGCTTTTATCATTAAAGTGTATTTGTCCACATGTTATTCAGCAAAGCGGTTTTGATTCTTTCTGCTGATGGTCACCTAGAGTGGGCTTTCAGTTTTAATGATCTTAAACTTTGAGACACTTTATGCTGCGATACAGATCTGTATTCTGTTCAGAGCTGGACTGGTAAGCAACTCTAGCTGCAATGTTGAACTTATTTCCCTTTGAGATTCTTCACATTATTGTGTTCTGTCTTTAGTGGACGACCAGCCTTTTTGGGGGTCTTGAATTATTTAACGATGCTGTAATATTTGCAGTTATCTAGAAATCATAGATCCTGATCAACTTCTCTTGCTGTGACTGAAAGGTTCATCTGTTTTGCCTTTATCTGGACAACTGCTATCAGAGAGGTTCAGTTAGTTTCATTAGCAGTTAAAAGAACAGTTCATTTAAATATTAAAATGTACTCAACCTCAAGGGTTTTTTAAACCTTTATGAGTTTACAAAAAGAAGATATTTTGAAGAATGTTGTAAACTAGTCACAATTGACATCCATAGTTGGAAAAAAGATACTATAGAGGAACATAAGATAGAAACTCAAACAGGTTAAGAACAAGTGGAAAGGTGAATAAATGAAAACAGAATTTAAATATTTGGTGAACTAATTCTTTAAATAGGGTTTGTCATTAAGGAATTTATCAGCAGTTGCCAGATTAACACTAACAACTGAGAATGTTGTTCAGTGTTCTTTTTCATATATTAAATGGTTGTTCTGATGTGCTTTAGAATATCTACAACTCATGAAATATACTTATAAATTGAAATAGGACATTATCCTAACAGGAGTTAAATAGCAGCTTGTAAAGTTTGAGGTCACTGTGACCTCAAACAGGACTTAGCAGTAATATTAAAAATGTAGGAAATTGTAGGTTGTCCTGTAATTTTGATCTCCACAGTACATGCAATCACAAAACTGCAGTTTTCAAATTGTCCCATTTTAGCACCAGCATGCAAATGGTTATTAACAGACTCACAAAGGAATCTAGGTCAGAGTTAAAATAATCATATGACTGAAAAATATGTTTGAGAAAAATATATTATCCACAGTCTGGTCCTCGTCGCATGGTTAACTTTGTGGATTTTCTGCACAAATAAAGTCAAGGCATGTTGTGGCCTAATCATCAATTCGAAACATTTGATTACCATCCTATATATATTATATAACAGAACTTGGATTTCTTTGCCCTCAGATGCGGTTTTTGCTACATGGAGGTTGAGAGTTTACCTGCTGGGATTTACAATGTCATCCCTACGACCTTCCTGCCCAAACAGGAAGGCCCATTTTTCCTGGACTTCAGCAGTGTCGCCCCGCTGCGGGTTTCTCAGCTGCAATAACGGTCCCGCACCATCCGACCACCGGATTGTTGACACAGAAGATGTTTCGCCAGCACTCATTGCTCACAGACACGCTTGTTTACCAAAAGAAATAAGCACCGATCACAGATGGTACCTGACATAGTGCCATATTTCAGTCTTTCCCAACCCTGTTCCTAAACACACACCAACAGCAACCTCTTCCTAATCAACCACACCAGAATCAACTCATCAGAACATAAGAAGAGACACCAAAATTTGAAATGAAAAGACAATGCAGTCATCCAAAAAAATGTACTGTTGGTGTGCCTCCAGCAACAGGGTTGGGAAACACTGCCATATTTGACATTTTTTAGTGTGTAATAGTATGCCGCTGCAGTGCCATTTTCAGAAGAAGCGTGTTCAATCAGCCAGAAAACACACTTCTTTTAATTCTGCAGTCCGAAGTTGCATTCAAAGACGATGATATGTGTAATTTGTTTGTGCGCATCTGAGTGTGTGTGTGTGTGTACTGGTTTTGGTGGTTTATGAGGACACACATTTGTATAAGGTCACATGACCTAGGTATAACAATGTCCTTACAATTCAAAACTGTTAAAAATTATACTTAACAGGGTCTTCTGCCATTCAAAATTTGCCACAAGTTTCCTGTAATGCAACAGGTGTCAAACTTGGTTCCTCAAGAGCCGCAGCTCTGCACAGTTTAGTTCCAACCCTATATAAACACCCCTGATCAAACTAATTAAGTCCTTCAGGCTTGTTTAAAACCTACAAGTAAGTTTGTTGGAGCAGGGTTGGAATAAACTGTGCAGGGCTGAGGGCCCTCCAGGAATTGAGCTTTGACATACAGGTTTTAACAGTATAAAATACATTAAACCTGTGGAGCTTCCTCACAATGCACCAAAAATCAACATGGGTGTATGTTGTGGTTTATGAGAACACAATCTAACTTAACAGGGTCTTTTCACATTTAAAATTTGCCACACTTTTAAAAGTATAAAATACATTACACCTAAAGAGCAGGGGTGTTCAAACTCGGTTCTGGAGGGCCAGTCTCCTGCAAAGTTTAGTTCCAACCCTAATCAGACACACCTGGGCTAGCTAATCAAGCTCTTACTAGGCTTTCTAGAAGCATCTTTGCAGCTGTGTTGAGGCAAGTTGGACTAAAACGTCCAGGACACCGGCCCTCCAGGACTGAGCTTGGAAACCTCTGCCATGGAGAGTCCTCATAAACCACCACAACCAACCTGTGTGGGTGGGTGTGTGTGAATATATGATCTGATATGACTGTTTTTCACTCAGGAGACTGCAATAAAACAGGGATGTATATTAATGATGTCTGATGAGAGATCGGAGGGATCTGTACGCAGATTTCTGTGTCTCTATATTAAGGGCTCTTCCTCTGGTCTGTTTGCTGATGTGCAGGTAAGCAGAAAGACGTTCTGTTGCAGGGCTTATTTGTTCAGTGGGCTAAGAACGAGTGCACTTTTATCAAAAAGGAAAAAAAGAAGATAGAAAGCAAATATGATGCACATCCATCTCTGAAGCATCAGGTTTTGTTTTAACTCCCAATCATGTGCATCAAATGTCAGCTTTATTTATATCTAGCAGCACAGAACTGTATTTACAGGCCATATCGGCGATGACCTGGATGTTTTTACTTAGTAAACCGACATGCATGACTGACGATGATGCTCCACATCAGTGACTGTGCAAATGCTTAAGGTTTTTTTGTTTCATGATTTTGATTTCTGTTCTTATTATGCTCTGAAATATTTATTTGCAGAGATTAAAATGAAAGTGTATGTGTTATCAGACATTGTTTTTTTCTTTTTTTTTCCTTTGGTAAATTAAATGACACAATGAATAATACTAAAGAAATATGCAATAATGTTTGATATTTGTTCATTCATTCCTTTTCTTTAAGCTTAGTTCCTTTATTACTCAGACGTTGCCACAGTGGATTAAATCGCTAACTAATCTGGCATATGTTTTACGCAGCGGATGCCCTTCCAGCTGCACGGACAATTTAGCTTACTCAATTCACCTATAGCGCGTGTCTTTAGACTTGTGGGGGAAACTGGAGCACCCGGAGAAAACCCATGCTAATACTTGGAGAACATACAAACTCCACACAGAAATGCCAACTGATCCAGCCGAGGCTCGAACCAGCGACCTTCTTGCTGTAAGGTGATAGGGCTACCCACTGCACCACTTTAAATAACAGGAACAAAGTTTGAGTTTGCAACCAATATTGTCCTAAATTTTGAGGTCATGGTGTCAGGAACATTGAAATTTGTAGGCTCTGTAATTTTAATCTATATAATGCATGCAATCACAAAACTACAGCGTGCAAATTGTGTAGCAACAGCATGCAAATGTTTAGAAACAGACATGAAAAGAAATCTAGGTCAGAAACAAAATAATCATATGACTGAAAAGATATGTTTGGGAAAAATATATTATCCACAGTCTCTTTCAGATTTTTTTCCGTCTTGATTTTCAGCCCAAAGAGTTAAGGCATCAAATCAATTCGAAACATTTGATTTTTATCCCTCATTATATAACAGATCTTGATCCCTTTGCCCTCAGAGATGAAAATGCTGCACAATATATCGATTCAGCATCAATATTGCAATGCGATCATTCACAGTAGTCACATTGCATGCTTTGCAATGCTGAGTCTGGATTATGTCTGTATTGGAAGCCTGTGACTGTAAATACAGGCCATAAGAAATTGTACCGTTTGTGACGTTTAATTTTGTTGATTTATTTTTATTATTAAATTGCTGCACCTAAATACTGTTAGGTTTGTTTCAATAGTAACCTTTTATGTATTGTATTTATCTGTGCTTTTAATTTGTTTATTAGATTTTACGCAAATGCACTCTCCTAGAATCATCCCAATCCATCTAAAATGATCACTTCTTTCCAAAAGAAGATTTTCAAGTCATCTGATGGAATTGTATTGGTGAATAACTGGTTTGTACACAGTCAGGATGTGTGCGCATCGAGGTTACAGAAAAAAAGAGGTTAACGCTAGCATTTACAGCTTGGGAATGACATCCGATGCAGTACAGAGTTTGTTGTTGTATCAGAGATAAGTTATATTATATTACATATATTATTTATATCATGCTTTCAGCGTATTAAAACGACAAAATTAACGTCAAAGTGAGCGGTGTTTGTCTCACAAGTCTATTTGCGAGATCACCCTCCCAATGGATATTGGATAAGACGAAATGGCCATCCAGCCCCAAATATACAATTTCATTGAAGCTTCAAGTGATTTTTCATAGGAGAGAAGTTAAAGGCCTATAAGTCATTGGATGCCAACAATTTTGTTGTGTGGTCATCATGTGCAAGAAATAATGTTCCGTTATTACCAGATTAAAAATTTATAGTGCTAAAATATGAGGTTCTGCCGACCCAAAGACAAGGAAAGAAGATGGAGCTTTACAAGGCCTGAGTAATCCTCAATAAGCAAAACAACTGCATTCTGACAGTGAACTGCACCAGTACTGCAGGGTATGTGAACTTAGATTTTTACATTTTATTTTAAGCATTCAATGTCGGCAGTTTAATTAACCACATTTAACAGTTTTTGCTGAAATCATTGATCAAATAAAAATGAGTAATGTGTATGATTCAGCCTAGCTTAACCTCATGAAATGAGAACTGCAGAGTCCAGCATTTGTAATTAGGTCCTCACTCCATTTAGCTCTTCTGATGGCTGTTAGACAAAGACGTCTGCGGTTGGCATTAAAAGCAGTGTGATGTACGGTAAAATGTAACATTTTCTATTTTTGGACTTTCGACTTTGGCTTCCTACCACACAACACAATATGTTTGCTATTGCAACCAGTATGCGCGGTTGAACACAAGTGATGTAGTTTGGTAATTTCCCTGTTCAAATTGCAGTATAGCAAAATATCACAATGTGCGCTTTTTCCAACATTGTGCAGCCCTGGTGTACTGACTAGTGTACACGGATCGTTTTTTTTTTTTTTTTGATCACACAAACAAACAATGAACTATAAGAAAACTATCTGTAGGGAGGCACAATTACGTTCATCAGTTTGACAGGTTTCAGATGCTTTGGAGTCAGTTATTTGATTAGGAATGAACTTAATGAAAAAGCCATTCATAGTATTACAGAAGTAATACTTTTTTAATTTTCTGTTTATCTAAAAATATAAAGCCTGGCATAGACTACAGGAGTTCTAATATCCTAACTGATAATAAAATCTGGTTGCAGCACACACAAGAGGAGAATCTTTAGTCATTTTATTATCTCAATTCTTAAACGTGTGCTGTATCAGAATATTGGCATGGTTTCTGAATGATTATGTGAGAATGGAGTAAAAATAGCTGCGGCATATTCAGCTTTGCCATAACATTAATAAATTAAAGCATATTTTAAAATGAGAGGATACTAAATAAACAAATCTTACAAACCCTAAAAGATTTTTATGTTATAACCTAGAAAATAACATTTATTTGTCTAGTTTTGCAAGTTTATGTTAAAATTACTTATTATTATGATTATTCTTTTCATTTAAAGATACATAGAGATAGCTCAATTTCTCCAAAACCATGTTGATATATTACTTGAACAAATTACATTGTTCAATTTGTTTGTATTATTTACAATAAATATTAAGTTAACATTTATTATCACATGTATGTTTGTACGAACCACCACATCATCGAAAACTATAGGCTAAAAATAAAATGAATGTGTAATACAGTTCATATATTTAACAAATTCTGACATCTAGATTTTTTCTTCCCAACTAACCAGTTCTGGATGCTGAATGTATTTCTTGGGAAGACCTGTTATGTGAAGTGTATTCAGCAGATATATTAAGCTGTAACATTAGCCTGCTGTTTAGCCTAACACGTTTTACTGTTCTTTTGTGTTTTTATCCTGATGCTACAACATAGATATTTACATTAGATGTCGCCTACCTTGTTGTTGTCTACTAAAAGGAATGCGTCAACAGAGCCGCCATTTTAGTACAGGGTTGCATTCGTTTGAAATGAATGTGAGCAGGGTGCAGTGGAGGACTGTGGCCATTCAGAGCCAATTATACACATATATCTATAATCGGGAGATTTCCTGGTGGTCAGTATGCAAATATTTTTTTGTAAATTACGAAAATTATAATTTTACATCACTCTTCTACATTGCTGGATAAGTGACCGCATGGGCATTGCCAACAAAAGACATGTGTTTATGTGCATGGAAATGTATTATCCTCCCTCCCTGTTAAATTTGATCTAATCCAGAGGTTCTCAAACTGTGGTACGTTTACCACTAGTGGTACGCGAACTTCCTTAGTGGTACACGGAAGAATGAAATATGTCATGTATATGCTACATATATTTCAAAATTTATCAAAAATGATGTATATTTGCCATATATGAAATATAGCGTATATTTCTGAGGTAATCTGCCACATTTTTTTTAACCGTGTGGAGTTGTAGCTGCTTTACTAGGCCTACTACGCTATTGTATTTTAATACTACTCATTTTGGTGGTACTTGGAGAGACAATTTTGGTTTTTGGTTTGGTGGTACTTGATGAAAAAAGTTTGAGAACCACTGACCTAATCTATGTCCCGAAACACACCCCCTCTCCCGCTTTCACTTCTCATTCTAACACAGGGAGCGATTCATTTGTGAATGAATCTCCGTTATGAACAACTCGTTCACTTAGCCAACATATAAGTTTCTAGCACCGCAGCGTCTTGGCATATTTCATTTACATTGTTTGCTTTTTTTTTTTTAACAAAACTAGCATAAGCCTAGAGTTTAGTGCAAGTCGGTGCTATTTTGCGTTATGGTCAATGCAGTAAGTGACTGTATTATCATCAATAATGTTACCCGTTTATCACAAATGTTCATAACATACAAAAACATAAAAAAAAAACTAAATCTTACCTTTGAAATGTTCTGCCTTTGTGCTGTTTGCTCGTTACTACACCCGTAAGAAGCGCAAAAGTCCAGCATTTTCACATTAGCAGTACACACTCTCGTGACTATTGCGGCTGAATGACATTTGTCCTGGGAGCCCTGTACAAATGTGGCGGCGCTATTGACGCATGCTCTTGCTCCGTATGTGATATATAGTGTTTATATCTATGATGTTGCGCTTGTCCCGCCTTAAATGTGATTGGATGGGAATTTAGCCTTTCAAATTTTTTTAGTGCAGCGCTCAGTCGTGAAGCGAAGATTTAGGAAGGATAAAACATGGCACATAATATGACATTTCAGTCGTGACATTAAAAAACAAACAACATTATCAACCGGAGTTGAAATAGCGAGACGTCTGGTCTTTTAATTATTATGTTAATAGTGTTAATTAACGTCAAAACGTCAAGGAAAGAGCCCGTCTGAACTCAGACGGAGGAACATGTCGGAATATGTATGAATTTATCGACAGAGACATTGTTTTTATAACAGCCTACAGCAAACTAACAGAAAAATGTACACTTACTTGACTAATAATTCGGTTATTCTTATTTAATTCAGTTTGAAAACAGTTACACAAGTTAACAACAAAACCTAAATACCATAAAGCATTTAAACACTGCTACAAGGTTTCTTTTCTTACAATCTGTTCTCAATCAGACCAAACCAACAACAAAACAAACAAGAAAAGAACATTCATGAAGGCAAAACAGACGAGACACAAGGTCACACATTAGACATTATAAACAGCCTTCTGACCAGACCTGAAGCTGTGCCATCTGTCCCAGAATCAGTGGCTCCCGCACCACAGATGCTGGATGAAACATTCAGTTATTGTCCTCTTCATCAGTGCAGCACATCTCCCACCGAGACCCATCAAAAATACACCTTCTCCCTCATCTCAGAATAGTGTGAGTACAGTAAACACAGCTTTTTGTATTGCTATTTTTTCTATCCATACTGAAAATTATGATTGTTCTTTACACAGAAAGAGAAAATGGTGGCATGCACTCTTTTGGAGAAAGGTGAAGGTGACCAGTTTAGATCTACTTGGCTCCTGCAAGTCTCCAAATGATGTCAATGACGTGTCCAGAGATGCGTCACGAGTCACAAATGTGAATCATCAGGAGATTTCAAGTCCTTTTTTGAAGATGAAAGGACATGCAGCAAGTGAGTCAGGCCGAAACAAGATCATGCCCTAGATATACAGTAACTCAAAACGGTCGTAACTGCCTTACAAATGACTGCATATTTTCCTCGATACAGTTACAACGACAGCCAGTGGATTAAATCTACATAATGAACTACTTATGCGTTTTATCAGTGAAAACACAAGTGCTCCTTAATAGACATCTTTAAAGGGACAGTCATCATGTGTCAAATCACTGAGGTTCTTCTGTTAAACACAAAAGACGATATTTTGAGGGAAGCTGGAAAACTGTAACCCTTAACTTCCACAGTATTATTTTCCTACCATAGAAGTCAGTGGTTACAAGTTTTCAGCTTTCTTTAAAATATCTTCTTTTGTATTCATCAGAAGAAAGAAACTCATAAATGGTTAGAGAGTAAATAGTGAGTAAATTAACAATTTTGGGTGAACTATTCCTTTTAAGGGTCTTCCTACTTTCTAGAACACGTGGGGATGACACTATTACTAGCATTTATGGAGATGCTTGTCCTCTTAAGCTTAAGTCAGCTCTGAGCTCCTCCAAAATGGCAGATTTGTCTCTTCAGCACATCATGTCACGAGGGTTGCTTTTTTAACTCGTGAATTCAGTCTGAAAGTTGCTGGAACATTGTAGACAGTGAGAGAAATGAGCTGTATGACACACGAGTGAGGTGGAGAGTCTCTCGACAGCACAGACTGTGGATGAATACATCAGTGTCTGTGGTCACATCCCATCGAGCAGGATTGTGGCTGGCGAGGGGTGTTGAACCAGACCCAGGGGGTCTCGAACAACAGTTTTTCTGCTGTCGTTCCGGCTCAGTTTTAGAGACAGCAGACGGAAACGGCTGTCCAGGCCGAAGGTTGTTTTGGCGTTGCTGATGCTGTTGTTATTGAGAACGTTGTCCAGTACAGCCTCCGCACCTTCTGCTCGGTCACCTGAATACAAAGCAGCAGATTAATCAAGCATATGAATTGGAGCAAAAATATGAATATATAAATAACAACAATTAAAATTACTTTTAATTAGGGTGTCCGCCGGGTCTTAAAAAGTAGTAAAAGTAGTAAAATGAATTATATAAGAAAATTAAGGCCATAAAAGGTATTTTTTAAAAGTCTTAATCACGTTATTACGAGGTCTTAAATTTTGTTCAAGCTTTGTCCAATGTGTTTGAATCCAAAAAAAAAAGCTTCCTCATTTATTATTTATTTTCCTCCTAATATTAACAACGTGTGCTCAATCCATGCGATTGGGTTATGGCCAGTTATTATGCACTACCAGCCACACCAATAACAAACACGACAGCTGAACTTGTCAAAACAGCTACAACAGCAACCTCTGCCCTGACGTCAGGGTGGCACATCAACAATGTATGCGGAAGTTATCTAGGCACTTTACACTGCGGCGAAAAACCACTCACTAAACTTGAACGAAAATTTCAGACATTTTCAAGTCGATGTTTCAGGATTCCGACATAGCCAAGACATTCACCAGTGACAAGGACAAAACTTGTTACATCATGAGATTTGGGCTAGACCCCGTTAACAAAGCTGGCTTGTTTGTGCTAATGTTTGACGAGTCTCTCAGTCAGTCAACAAAGCAGCAGCAGCTCGACGTACATGTTCGTTTTTGGGATAGTAAAGGTAAAATGTGTCAGATATTTTAGTAAATATTGCCTTTGGTTTAATTTATTATTTCAAGCTTTGCTTCCTCCGAGCTTATCGAAGTTCTTGTTGCATCTGTTGATTAGAACTTAAAGTGGCGATGACGTCTCAAAATATTCTGAGGTCTTTAAAAAGTCTTAAAAAGGTATTAAAATTATCTTTAGGATTCCTGCATATAGCCTGTTAATAATATAATTTTTTATTATTGTAATTTAAAAAATTTTATATTAAAAATAATAATATTTAAATATATGTATGTGTATATATATATATATATATATATATATATATATATATATATATATATATATATATATATATATATATATTATACACACACACACACACACACACACACACACACACACACACACACACACACACAACCACAAACAAAGTATGAAATATTGTAATAAGAAAATATAAACATAATAGTATTAATATTATAGTAGTTTTTATTATTATTATATTATATTTATTATAATTATTATATTATTTTTATACAATAACCATTACAAATGTAAATTATATACCAAAATGTTTTGATATGTTAATATACACCAATATATAAGTATCATTTAAATATTTTTATATTTTATTATTGTACATTTTATCTTACTACATGCACTTTATATTATTAATATTACAAAATATAAGAAATCGAGATATTTTTAGAAATAAACGCGTTAAATGAACAGCACTAATTTAAAAACAACAAACTTTACCGGATAAACCTGTTTTGTGCTTATTGTTACGTTGAATAACCACCCGACTATCCATCAATGAGATTAATGAACCCCTCTAGAGGGCACAGGTGCGAGCAGGCAGAAAACCAAGAAAAATGGCCTTGTCTCACAAACGAGAGCAGGCCTAAACACAGTCCCACACGTGCAGGGTTCCATCCATCAACGCAAACCCAACCAAGAATATCTCACCTCTCTCCAAGTCACACTCGGGGGACGAGGCGCCGCTGCATTCACTGCGTGGGCCGAGGATTGGAGACATCAGACTGAAGTCAGACAAGGAGACGGTGCTGGGCAGGTCCAAACTGCAGGGACGAGATGACGGGGTTGGGGAGGTGGAGGATGAAGAGGAGGATGAGGAGAAAGGACAGGGTAGGTCCACAGGGCTGTTGGGCCCTGAACTGAAGCTGCTGTTGGACTGAGTCTCAGAGTCTTCCTCAGACATGGCACTCGTGCTGCAGTTTTCATCCTCATATGACCCGGAAGCCACTGCAGGAATAAAAATAAAAGCAGGTGTCAGGCATCAGGCTTATCATGATTTTTTTTAGCATCATTTTTGTGTAAATAAGCATTTTATTTAGACAATAACTTTGTGTTACACTATGCAGGTTTAATTTAAATTCTTTAGGGCATTTGCTCTGCTTGTTCATTTAAATAAGTGTGAATGCTTCCATTTGAACCTTCAATCTGCTTCCAAACAAATTCTGGTGCAGTTGGACTGCAATGAAATAGCAATGCAAGCAGACCAAGATATCTAAATGAACTGAAAACAGAACACCTTTAAACCATTTAAAGCTTAACCATAAAAAGGACGAAACGCGTTTCATAACAACTTAATCTAGATGTTAATTTGTGTTGCGTGACAGAGGAATTCATTAAGTCTTTACACATATTAGTCGATAAAAATGATCATTTGCATGCATGTGTAATAAGTGCTTTCAGTCCATGCACCACACAACATCGTTCTTATATGTTCATTAAATTCTGTCACAAAAAATATACACCATTAATTACTTTTTTCTTTGTCTTTAGGTTCAAACTTAATAGACTTAAAGCAAAATAGACGTATAAGCAAAACAGGACGAAATGTTCTTCTTTTCATTCAGATTCAAGAAAGCAAACTACAAGTGTGAACACAACCGGAGTGAATACTATAATAATGAAAGAAATATCAAACCTTTATGGCCAACAAAGAGGAACCATAAGAATTAAACTTGAATGAATACCATAATAGCAAAAGAAACATAAAACCTTTAAAGCAACAAACCATAAGAATCAGACTAAAACCGGTCTGGTTCAATAGAAATAAAAAAATAATAATAATAAAAAAATAATACAATAAAACTGTGAAAATCAATTATTCAATGATGCTGGTCTAAATAAAAACAAAAGTTAGTGTAAAATTACTAGAGTAGTGTAGTATTTTCTAATAAATAATATAAATGATAATATCATTTATGGTCACACTTTATTTTGATGGTCAGTTTGTTGAATTTAAGTTACATTGCATCAACATGCCAACTAATTCCATTAGATTATAAGTAGACTGTTAGCTAGGGGTTATTGTAGGATTACATTTACTTGCAAAGTTTCTTATAGTCAGTTAAATGTCTGTGGAAGGAGCATTATCAACAGATATTAAGCAGACAATCTACTAATACTCAAATGAACCATCAAAATATAGTGTTGCCTAAATTACTAGTACTATAGTTAGTGTAGTATTATTATTATTATTTATTAAAAGTAAAAAAAAAAAAAAACAACGAGATTTTAAGGAGTGGAAGAGAGCTTTAACTTTTTAAATTTTCTTTTAGTCCTGAAAAAAAAAATCTATATAACATCTAATGGAAACTGGAGTACAGATAAAAGGAGAAAAAAAGCAGTTTGCCTACTTGGCTTGAATCCAAGTAGATGTTGATTCATTTCTTTCAACAATAGATGTTTTAATTAAAAACTTTCTTAGTAACTATTTTTAGCACTTGTGTGTAGGAACGTAGAATTTAAAAGGAGAAAAACATATATTCAATAAGTCCTTTTGAACTAAAGTACAACTATTTTAATAACATTATATTTTATTACATTTTATGTAAAGAACAGAATCATCATTTCCCTTCCCTTGTTTTGACATCAGAACTCAAGCATGAGAAAATCTGCACTTACTTGATATTCCATCAGACTCCATTTTAAAGCCAGACAAGTCTTCACCGATGACACCATCGCCCTCTGCACCCACACCTCTCTCTCGCGGACCGATGCCCAAAGAACGTCTGCGCTCGTGGATCTCATCTGAGATCATCTCCAGTTTCCTCAGAGCTGACTTATATTCCCCTTTAGCTTGCGTCAGCTTGGCCTGCAGGTCATCCACATTCTTCTTCAGTTGCTAAAGAGGGAAGGACAGAAAACAGCAACATTAAATATGAAAAAAAGAATTGGATTAAAACTAGAAAAATAATGGATGCATATTCAAAACAACCTACACAATATTTAAAGGGATAGTTCACCCAAAAATTAAAATGATTCATCTTCTACTTGTTCCAAACCTGTTTGAGTTTTATTCTTCTGTTGAACAACAAAGAAGATGCACTAAAGCAATGGTATCAGGCTGCATTCACACTGTAGATCTTGATGGTCAATTTCGATTTAGTGACTGTATCTGATTTTTTTGTTGACCAGCTTACATCATCTTTGACTCGTATTCGATTTTCTGCATTTACACAGCACATGGCAAAGGTGCAATGTCCAGGAAAAAAAAAAAAAGAGCAGGCGCTGACTGACAGCTGATAATAACAGAACATTGTTTTCTTAATTCCTCTTTGTATGCTGTTCACAGGGTTTCATTTTTTTATATTATTTTTGAAGATGTTTTACTATCGTTTATGACAGGAAAGTTCTCATTTTGCCATCTTTTAATCTAGGCCTTTTTAAACCAGTAGGCATTTTAATGTAATGTCCATAGCCATGGGCGGACTGGGACAAAAAAAATCAGGCCTAGTACTTTAGCCACACCAGGCCACATTACCACACCGACACAGCCCCACCCACAGACACGCACAATTAATACTTATATTGGTGTACAGTTGGTGAAATAATATAAGCAGTACCATATGTAAGAGCTATTTAAACATTTAATGAGGGTGACTGAAATAATAAAAAAAACAGTTTATAACAAATTTATAAATACATTCCTTTCATTCATTCCTTTTCTATTCAGCTTTGTTCCTTTATTAATCTGGGGTCGCCACAGCGTAATGAACCACCAATTTATCAAGCATATGTTTTAGAGTAATTTTTTTGCTTTCTCTGAGCTTATTGGCACCGCCTTTCCTTTTTTACGATCCATCTTTGACAATTAGCTTGTGTTGCACTTACTGTTTGACATTCTTGCCAGATTTTGATTACGTCTGCGTAACCTCTGATTAGGTCGGATTGGGTCAGCCGATCTTGAAACCAGCTGACCAATGGCGATTGGGCTAAATGCTTAACATTTATTAATATTATTGTTATTGATCATCATCGTCATATTCACATATTGCAAGAAATAAAAGCCGCCTGCATGTAAAACAATATATACAAAAAGTTTTTTTTTTTTTTTTTTTTTAAGAAATGGACCGGTCCACATTTAAAAAATGGTCCAGCCCTTCTGGTGTTTGCCAGAATTGCCAGAAGGCCAATCCGCCTCATAGCATGATTTATGCACTTGATGTATGCAAGAGTTTTATATTAGTTACGTGGCGAATACTGCGCTCTCTCGCTCCCACTCTCTCGTAGAGCTTTTTTAGTCCTCATGTATGAGATTAAAGGTTTGCGACTCTGCTGAAGTCTGTTCTGAAATAAAAGCGTCAGAGATGACATCATTCATTATGGCTTTTAATAATGCGCGACTCGCATTGACAGGTGAAAATCCGATCTACATGCTTACAATGCAGACAACTCCAGGAGGGCCACAACTCTGCTTAGTTTAGCTCCAACCACCTCCAACTCACACCTGCTTAAGGGTCTCTAATAGTGCTGAACACCTCAATTAGTTGGATCAGCGCTGTTTCATCAGGGTTGGAGCAAAACTGTGCAGAGCTGCGGCCCTCCAGGAATCCAGGTTGAGACCGATGCACTAAAGAATATTGGAAATAAACTATGATTTACGTAGCATTTTTTTGTTCCTACTACTTTGGATGTCAATGGCTGCTTGTTTCAAAACATTCTTAAGATTATCTTGTTTTGTGTTCAACAGAAGAAAGCCATTAATAAATGTTAAGAACCATTTGAATGTGAGAAAATGGTGAGAAAATGTGAGTGAACTATGGCTTTAAAAGCATTACAAAAATGAGCATGATTTTTCTGTAATAATAAAGTCTGTTTATAACCCATCATCATTTTCAAGTACCTCAAGCTGCAAGTAATACTTCGCCTTCATTTCAAAGTAGGGCCTGAAAAAAAGAGAGAGAGAAAGCGATTAGAGCTGCTTTAAAGACCTATAAATAGCCTTGTGCATGTCACCATGGCAACCGTTCATATATGATGACACTGTAGGCAAATGCTGAGTGAAAGGATTAGGAGGGTTGTGTGATAGAGTTGAGCTCCCCTGGGAGCTGCTGAGTCACCATCACTCGCTAGAAACCCACCATCAACTAAAGCTCTCAGACATTCACACACACCAATGACTCTCTGCAGAGTATCCAGATCTGCCTACTCAGACTGGAAGATGCATCAGAGCTGCAAACTGACCTACAAACTGTTTGTTTTGTGATTTCTAAATTAGGTAGACACTGATATGGACATTTTGGCCAATAATGTTAACCCATGTCTCTCTATTTGTTTACAGTTTGTGTATGCTCTTTACATTTGAAAGCCGATATATTTCAAAGACCAATACACAGTTGAAGTCTGAATTATTAGCCTCCTGTATGTATTTTTACCCCCCAATTTCTGTTTAGAGGAAAGAAGATTTTTTTAAAATACATTTCTAAACATATTCGTTTTAATAGCTCATTTTTAATAACTGGTTTATTTTAACATTTTTTTTATTTAAGTGTTTTTTGCATTTTATAAAAACAAACAATACAATACTATAATAACACAAATATAATACAATGCATAAAACATATGAACAACAGAACACAGGACAAATGCATATGAAAAGCAAAATATAATTTAGCTGGTCAGGTAATGCATAAATAAAAGTAATTATAAAATAACAATCGTCTTATATTACCAAAAAAAAAAAATCATTATCCTGACTATAGTTTTATTGTCAAATAATTATTTGAGCACATTATAAAAACATATAGGGCTCTATCATACACCCATCGTAATAAGGTGCAAGATGTGTTTGCCATGACTTGTTGCTATTTTCAGACCATTGCAACAGTAATTTTTTAAATAGCAAATCCATTTTGCCACTTTGTTGACCCATGGGTGTGTCGGTCTAGAAAGGAGGTGTGTTAAGGCGCATTGTTGGCACGTTGTTGAAAGCAGGTCTTAAGTCCAGCGCAGAGCGTGTCAGTTGTGCACATTAAACACCTACGCATTGCTTAATACACAAAAGATGTACAGCAATACGCAAATATCTTTACAAAATGAAAAAGACAAAAATGATTATTTCCTACATAAATAAAAAAAACCACTGACTTCATGCTTTCTTCATCTCGGGAGGGGCTTTTTCAGTTTATTTATGACAATTTGCATTTGTATAATGTTACTATTATTAAGTGTTATTTATTATATGCAAATTAATATTTGTTTTATTAAAAACAAGCTTAGATTTGTCCACCTGTCAGGTTTTGGACCATATGGGGCAAAAAAATAGGATGTGTGTTAAGATGGAACTAATATTATTGTTCATTTATTTGTTTTCTGGAAATTAGAACTGAATTTAGAAATAGTTTTAAAACAAATATTTGCGCTTAACAAACAAGAATAAACATGTAGGCTAATGGATGTCTTCAGTGAAATGCGTACAACACCGTTTCCTTATCCGTGAAAGTAGAGGAGTAAGGTAAAGAGGCCAAATGGAGGCTCGTTCTTTATCCTTAAACAGATGGTCTGTTTGTCTGTTTTCTTGCTAGTTTTTTAACTTACAAATCCCGCCATGTGAAAAGCAAATGCACCATGGCGCAACACAACTCTTAAAGGGAATGGGAGATGAGACATGTTCAAAACACACCCATAACTAATTAAGAGAATAAGCACAACCCTGTTAGACCATGTGCCAGGGCGCAGATCTTATTTTTCCGTCTTTAAAATAGCTGTCTTATTCAGCCATGGCCTTATCGCTTTTGCGTCATGCACTTTAGACTTTGTGCCTAGATCATTAAAATAGAGCCCTTAGATTATAAATGTATAGATTATGAACAGTGAATATCAATTACACTCAATCTTTAATTACTAAGTTATTGACAGGGGTCTTTGTTATGCTTGCATTTCTTCCAATGCATTAAGGTGTTCTAATATATGTCTGCATGTTTTCATCAAATATGATTTCTTTTATCTTTGCTTTAATCAAAGTACATAATATTTGACTAGATATTTTTCGATATGCTAGTATTCAGTTTAACGTGACCAAAAAAGCCTAACTAAATTAATTAGACAAATTAAAATAATTAGGCAGCTTATTGTGTAACAGTGGCTTGTTCTGTTGACCAGGGGTGGCCAATCTTGTTCCTGGAGAGCCACCTTCCTGCAGATTTCAGTTGCTACCCATATCAAACACACCTGAACCAATTAATTAGGACCTGAACACCACGTGATAATTACTGGCAGGTGTGTTTGATATGGGTTGCAACTGAAATCTGCAGGAAGGTGGCTCTCCAGGAACAGGGTTGGCCACTCCTGCTGTAGATATTCAATAAAAAAAAATTATAAATAAAAAAAACAATAGCACTGTGTCATGAATTTGGATCATTAATCTGCTCCCATGGGATAATATAGTGTCTATCAAACTCGTGCCTCAGAATTTTGCTCTAAGGCTGTTTTTACACTGGCAGAAAAAAAATCAGATTTTATGCCCACATCTGTCACGGATCGAAATTTGAGGCATGTGTACAAACAAAAATCTGCACAAGATCCATTTTTTTTTTCCATCCGATCCAAGTGGTTTTAAAATGTGGTTTTAAATCAGATGCACATCCAATATTTGGACATCCTACCCATGTCTAAATGCATATCGATTCTCTGTTTCAATTATGTTATTGTTTTCAAATGATTGCCATCATTAAAAAAAAAATTTAAGCACAAGTTGGATGTGGCATCGTGATTTGTACATGTTGCGATGGATAAAGCCAGTGAAAGTCTAAAGTTTCTTTAGTTTATGGGGAGAGGCATCAACCCAAGCAAAATTGCATGGTTCATACAGAAATCAGGCTGTAAATGAAGACATAGCGTGGACTATGCATGATGGAGACTTTGGAAAACAAATAAGCAAACGTTTATCCAGAATTCGAGGGTCAGTTGTGGTTTTTAGGTAGGAGATTAGTGTAACACGGATATAGGAAACAAAGCATGTCTGAAGTAAATGTAAAGAGGTGGGCCAATAAAACAGATGTGGTCAAAACGCCAACCTGATTTCACCAAGTAAGACATGTTCCTGGATGAACATCTATATTGATTCTGGAACAACATTCCAATCAGCCAATCAGAATTAAGGAATAAGTTTACAGTTTATGTTAGGATTAGGCCTATGGTTGGGTTTATTCACTTCTACATGATTGTTATTCAACTGTTATTCCACTTGATTTTGGGAATAGTTTACAGTTATGATTGGGTTTAGGGGAAGGGAATAGGTATGCATTACATTTTTGAACAAAAATGATGTTCCAGGATCAACAACACAGATGTTAGTACAGGATCGCATGGTGCAAAATCATGATGTGCATGGTCAAAATGATCGTTTTTTTCCAATAAAGAGATAGTTCACCCAAAAATAAAAATGTACTCACTAATTACCCAACCTCAAGTGGTTCCAAACCCAAAACATGATATTTTAAAAATTTTGGAAATCTGTAACCCTTGACATGCATAGTTGTGTGTCGCAATGAAAGTCAAAGGTTATAGGTTTCCATTTTCTTTTTTTAAATAACTTATTTTGTGTTTAACAGAAAAAGGAAACTCAAACAGGTGTGTGACAAGTGAAGGATGAGTGAGGCCTTGTCTGCACAAACATGGGTATTTTCAAAACCACACCTTTTCTACAGTATGGGGCCTCGCTGTTTATCCACACCAGAACATCAGGTGACTGAAAATTTCTGAATATTCGGTCCCGGGTGAAGAACTTTAAACATGCATTACAGTGCGTTTTGATTTTTTCATGTGGATGAAGATTTAAAAAAAAACTTGTTTATAAAAATATTTTTGTACTTGTGGATATGGCCTAAATGATAGGTCTCAAACTGAATTCCTGGAGCACCACAGCTCTGCACAGTTTTGCTCCAGCCCTAATCAAACACAACTAATCAAGGTGTTCAAGACTACTAGACACCATTAATTGTCCATACTGGACATGCTGTATGTAAGTATGTGTTTTTGGACAGTGTATTATAGCCTAAAGCAGAGGTTTGCAAACTTTTCAGCCCACGCACCACTAAAAATAACAATGGCTGTGACTCGATACCCCCCAAATTCCTCAGAGGTGGTCATAAATACACAAACGTTGTGCACAAAAAAGTGCAACAGCCTGACAAGCATCATTTTTATAGTCATCTATTAATTGGTTTCTTTTAATATTAAAATCAACTAATGAGACTGGTGAGCACAATGTTTTCAGCACAAGTCTATTCTTGGTTTAATTTTGGAGACTGCCACTCCGAGATCATTCTCAATATTCGGTTATGGCCTTTATTTATTTTTAATGTATTTGATTGTCATAAAGGTGTCAAAGTTTAACCTGGTGCCATACGCTATTGCTGTGTAGTTAATCTAACATTAACACACAAATCCTATGAAAAATATTAACAATTTAAAGGTTGATGGCTTTTCATTTTGCATTGCCCAGCAACCCCCACTTTGGGAACCACTGGCCTAAAGCACAGGTGTCAAACTCCTGGAGGGCCACGGCTTTGCAGTTTAGTTTCAACCCTAATTAAACACACCTGATCAAACGAATTGAGTCCTTCAGGCTTGTTTGAAACCTACAGGTAAGTGTGTTGCAGTTGGGTTGGAACTAAACTGTGCAGGGTGAGTTTGACACCCCTGACCTAAAGGAATGCCTGCGTGTTTACATAGTACATACTTTGACTTGTTGATGGTGCGTTTGAGCTTCTTCTCCTGCTGCTTCATGCGGCTCATGGCAGCGGTGTAATTGGCGGCGGTCTCCTTGTGCAGTAGCTCGCTGCGTGTTTTTATTTGCTCAGCCTCCATCACCTACCAACCAAAACAGACATTTTTAAGCATTTAAGTAAAAAAAGTAAACCTCATTTACCATCCCACAGGTTTGCATCACTCACCCGCTGTGTTGCGTGGTTCAGCATCTCCTGCCAGGCCGAGTCAAACTGCCGCTTGTCGTCCTCCAGCAGCCTCTGTTCAGCCAGAGCGATGGTCTCTTTGGCCGCCCGCAGCACCTCCGTGGCTCTCTGGAAGTCTTGTGTGGATCTCTGAGCTTCCAGCTGAGTCTGAGGAGTAGTTCAAGGACATGAGTGTCAGCCATGTGCGCCTGATGGCAAAGCTAACTGGTAAATTTTTTACATTTTTAAACCATGAGACTCTCTCCCTAAAAACACTGAGTCTCATTCATTAATAACTGTAAATAATTCATATTTATACGCACATTCCACAACAAACGTGTACACAAACAAATGTGTTCCCAAGCCTATCCTAATATTAGTGACGTTGAATCTCTCCTTTTTAACCTTTCATCATTTTCATATGGCTCTTTCTGCATATAGACTGTTGCCAGATCCTCAACCAATGCCGACTGGGTTATTTTCAAACCCATTTTTTTATTTCTTTTTTTTATTCTGAGGCTCTGCTGGTTGAAGCACTTTTCCTGAATTTTCATTGCCAATATCAAGCCAATTGTAATCGTTTGTTTAGGTTCAATTTGGAATTTCCACAACCATTGCAGAGCCCCAGGGATGGGAGAGAGGCTCCAGCTTGGCATCCCTCTGATCCCCAACCCATTTCAAGTCAAACTGCCACTTCCAAGTCGTTCTCCCAGCCTCCCTCTCAAAGTCTTGTGTGGTTCTCTCTGAGTCTGAAGAGCTGTTAAAATGTTAAATTACCCAAAAGTGAAAACTGTCATCATTTGCTCACCATTCCCTCGTTCAAATCCTGTTTGACTTGTTTTCTTGTGCAAGACACAAAAGAAGATATTTTGAAGAAAGCTGGAAACCTGTAACCATTGACTTCCATAGTATTTGTTTCAAACTATGGGTGTCAGTAGTTACAGGTTTTAATCATTCATTCATTCATTCATTCATTCATTCATTCATTCATTCATTTATTTGTTTTCAAAATATCACAAACAAATAATAGGAAACAAACAGCATGTAAGTCTATGGTTACAGCTTTCCAGCGTTCTTCAAAATATCTTCTTTAGAGTTAAAATAGATTAAATAAATACAAAAAGGCTTATAATCACTTAAGGCTGAGTAAACGGTGAGTACATTTTCATTTTTGTGTGAACTATCCCTTTAAAGGAGAGGAGTGTCGGCCATGTGTGCCTGTTGGCAAAGCTGACTGGCACATTTTTACCCCACGCTCAGAGTAGGAGTTTCGTGGAAAGCATAAGACTCAGTGCCTGACCACCTAAAAAAAAAACATTGAGATTCTTTGATAACGGTGTAAATAATTTGTATTAATACGCACATTTCACAACATGCGTGTACACAAAAAAAGTGTTCCTAATCTTATACTAATATTAGTGAAGTTGAAGTGAATGAGCGGCCATGTGTCATCATTCTCATATGGGACTTTCTGGTGATGTATTGTTGCGAGATTCTCAACCAATGCCAAGCCAGATCAAAGAGAATGACCTTATTCTTTGTGTACAAGTGGGCGCAGCTATCACAATCTTTTTGGCTCTAGACCTCCAGTCTGATTCACTTCCATTGTTTTTTTTAGACATTAAAAACAGTTTGTTATGTACCATTATTTGCTTCTGAAACTTCACAGATTTCATGTCTAAACATACCCTGATATTATTGATGGATGGATAGTTGGACGGATGGATGGATAGTTGGACGGATGGATATCTTCACGCCACTGCAAACTATTTCATTTCATATAGTGTAATATACCATAGTAAAAAGTGGATAATCCATGAAGCAATCACTGTACAAGATGGAGAAACTCATGACTTCCTGTATGGTGACATATTAAAATCTTCCTTGAACTCCCTTTCTGGTGAATTAAAGCCAGGCATGCAAAAAGCCAGCAAACATAATCCATTCCTATTCCTTTACTTTTTAACTTTAATCTCCACGTTACTCCCACTGACAGAAAAAGCCTGTGGAAACCTCTTTCCGGCTCAGCCTACTTAGCCAAACAAAACTGCATACATTTTGTAACCAACCAGTGGCAAGAAGGCAGTTTGACACTTTGAAGTGATTTAGAGGATGGAGAGGTCATGTTTAGTAAATCATTAAAATTAACAATTAATACAAAGTTAATATTCTGCATTAAAGAACATTTAGAAATAATGGTTCAAAAAGAACCTTTAAAATTCATGGAAACTTTTCTTTTTTTATAGTAAAATAAAGGCTCATCACACTATTAAAACTTTGATTATTTGAAGAAGTTTTCACATTATTTAATAAAGTGAACTTTCAACTTTATCTTTAAGAATGTATTGAAATTACTGCTATCCTGATCAATGGCCCCTCCAGTAACAAAAATAATATTTGCATATATCCTTTATATGAATTAAACTGAAATCAAATGTTTAAAAATAATAAAACAGAAACCACAATAAATAAATAAATAAAAGTAAACTAAACTAACAACAGTCAAAAAAAACCTAACTGAAATAAAATAATAAATATCAAAAAAGTTGTCATAAGCACCCGTTATGCTGCATTATATATGTATGATTTTTTTTTACTGTATAAACAAAACTGTTGTAAAAAAAAAAATGTTCAAACTTTTCTTTTGACAAAAACTGCAACCTAGGCATGTTTAACTGCATATACGGACCTTTACCATGAAGAAGATTGTCTGAATTCTTTATATTTGATACTTTTATTTATTGCATTTGTATGGTACACTGAGTTCAGTGTCTGTACTAAGAAGATTGCACAAAAATTATTGTAAGTTGTGCTAACACAAATGTGCTTTTTAGGCAACACTGGATGTGTTTGCTTACAGTGCTCAGCATAACCGAGTACACCCCATTTTGAAAATGAATATTTGCATCCATTCCTCAGTGAATATAGGCAATGTATTTTGGTGCATTTAAACTAAACAGATATATTTATTAAAATAATATTTTAGACACCAAACATATTTAGAAATTTAAAGAAAATTCAATTAAATTCAAGCAAAATATTGCAAAAATTACAACCTACAAAATTACATTTTTCCATTTTTTTTCCGTATTTGGACCGTTATAAGTTATTTTGTTAGATAAGCTCCAGATTAGGCTTCAGTACTGACTAATCTTATGTATATGCACAAATATAAAATTGTATGAATTTTATATTTGTATTAAAAATATGAATTTAAAAGAGAGATTTTGTGAGGGTGTACTAATATATGCAGAGCACTGTTAAACTATATTTTTACAAAAACTAATTTTTTTAAAACTAAATATAATTGTGCTTACAAAAGCTAAACTAAACTGAATTGAACAGCAAACTGAAAAATAGTATTGACATAAAAAAAATTAAAAAAAAACTTATTTTAAAAGCAAAACAGCCCATGAAAAAAAAACTACTGATTTGGTAGAATAGTTATGCTGATCTTTTCCCATATAATCAATTTATTGGCAGTTTCCAAACCCAGCATGCATCTTGGACATGTATGTGCCCAGGTTATTAAAGCAGGTGACTTCATTAATAAAACATAACCTTTGGGACAGGGGTCACCAATCTCGTTCCTGGAGGTCTGGTGCCCTGCAGGGTTTGGCTCCAACTTTCTTCAACACACCTTGTTTCAAGTATACCTAGTAAGACCTTGATTAGCTTGGTAAGGTGTGTTTGATTAGGGTTGGAGCTAAAATCTGCAGGACCCCGAACCTCCAGGAAGAAGTATAGTGACCCCTGCTTTATAATATGTTTGTTTGCTACAAAACATTCCATTTTGAAGGCGTACAATAGAGCTGTACAATTCATCTTTTCACATTTGCATGTGTTTTTTGATGCCTGTGATTGTATAATGACCTTAAAAGCATTCAGGCATAATAAATTGTATAATTTGTGACTTTAACAACAGTTTATTTTATTGAATTATTTTTATTTTTATCATTCAAGTACGGTACTTGAATACTGTTAGACTCGGGAACCGATAAAACACTTCAATTGTATTTTTTCTGTACATACAGATTGCAAGGCATGGAAATACAACACATGCAAATAAAAAAATGCACTGCGAATAGCCCAGACTACATCAAAAATGTGTCGGGGGACCCCAAAAGGTTTATAGATTGTTTATTAGATTTTATGGAGATGCACTCCTCCTACAGAATCAATTTAATCTAAATAGAGATATTTAGTTATCTGGTGAAATTGTATTCATATTCCAAAATTTTAAAAAAATACCACAATGAAAATTTTTTTCAATATCATGCAGCTTTAGTGTACTTGCATGGTAAATAGTACAACATTCTCTACCCTTCCTCTAATCTCTCCTATCATTTGCATTGTTCATTTTGAGGCTGCTAATCCTTTGACTTTTTCTTTCTCTTCCTCCATCCCTTCTTCCCTCACACACAGGCTATTTTTAGCTCAGTCTTCAAAGTTGATGTGATGCTGCCGCATTGCCATAGAGAGCTGACAGCAGGAGATCAGAGCAGACAGCAGGACAGACCACCGATACATACGGTTAAGGACAATATGGATGGGAAAGGTATTGCACTTTACCAAAATAAAATATATAAAAAAATTAATTAAAAATAAAATTAAATACACAAGGTAAAACAAACCAAAAATAAATGCAAAATATGCCAAAAACTAAACTGAAATAAAAAATGAAATAAAATAAAAAACTAGCAAAACAAAGAGATGAATAAAAAAAAATCAAACACAAAAACAATAAAGTACAAAAAATAATAAACACAAAACATAATAATTACAAAACTACTACATAAAAATAAAGCAAAACTACACTAATTATTAGGCTTTTAATATTAGCATTAAAAAAAGAATCAGCCTTTAGGATCAAATGGCCAGTACACTTAAGAATTCAACAGATAGCAAAACTTTGCAAGCTTTCATATTCAAGCCGGGGAACAGCTTGTAAAATATTCATACAAAGATGTTCAGAGGTACTCCGAGGTCAAAACATATTTCCCGAGGAGTAATGCGTTATTAACAGCTTCAAATCAGTTCTGCTGCAAAACAAGCCCCTGAAATAAATCACATGTAGTCCAGCGCAAAACTGATTTGTCTGAATTTGTTTGTGTTTTCACTTCACATGGACATCTACAAAGAGAAGCTGATTATGAACTCCGCCAGGA